GTTGAACTGGTCGTGCTGCATTCTCGACCACTGCCTTACTGAATAGCCAAGCCTAATAGATTACATATACAGTATGTTCCAACATTCGTTTACAGAAAATTATGATTATAAAGGCGTTTAAGACGTTAAGCGTTACCTAAGAAAATACAAACCCGAACTTGGTGTTCACTTAATAAAAGTACAAAAACCTTTTAAACTTGTTTATTAACTAATTATTACCTAGATGTACGTAACAATGTACGATGCGTACTAATGTGTAAAATTAAAGGTTAATATTTAGATATAACACTTATAACGTGGTCACAGGGGGACATATCATGACCAAGGATGCTGATATTTCGCATTTTAAAAGCGTAAACTAGAGACTTAGAAGGTTAATACCTACTTAAACTTTTCTAATAACAAGTAGCTTACAGGGGAAAAATGTTTTTAATTGAAATAAACACAAATGTTAATAGGATTACGAAAGTGGGCTTCGCAATTTTCTTAACTTTTCTCCGAAGTGTTTATTTAACAGGTAAACATTGCATACCGAATAAGTCTAGACATGTTTATTGATTTCATATTTTTGTGTTTTTATTGGTGCGTAAGTTGATTTAAATAAAGAAGTTACACTAAATACTTTACTTATAAAATGCTTCGTTACAGTAAACATATTTTTTACAAACAGACCGGCAGGAGTTTTGCGCATTTTATTAAGGTCTTTCGTGAAAAACATGTCTTGGACGTTCGAACAAAGAAAACTGGTCAAGCATAAGTTTGATTTAAGTTAAAGATTCCGTACTGGTTCTCGGGACATTAAATTCAATAAATAAATTCGAAAATAATATTATTTGTTACAGCAGTCTTTAACTAGCTAAACGATTTCCTTGTTTTATAATTTTAATTTATTTGTTTAGAAACTTTATTGTTTTAGTAATATAAACAAAAAAAAATCTGTACGAGATAATATTCTATTACGAATATAGTCCACAGCGCTACTGCAAAGTTTCCATTCAATCCGAATGACATTTATTTAATTCGAACACTGAACGGACAGCGAACTGTACTCGTACTAAAGTTTCACAATCCGTCTAGAAATTGCAAGAACTTCGCACGAAACAATAAACCGATATCGGTTCAAGAATTATTTATAAAAAGTTGAGAACTAGTAGGATCCATGGGCGAGCGGTCGACCTTGCTTCGTGTTTACGTCGTTGCATTGGTAGGCACCGCGTCAGGGTCGCGCGTTGCACCGTGTGGAACAACAACAACCTACATATGCCTACGTACAACGATGCTAATGTTATCAACATTGCGGCTTGAGTATGCAGGACGCCGCCGCGCCTATTGCGTCCGGTTCGACATCGTTCTGGGAGGCGATTCTCAAGAAAGTGTTATGAGAATGTCTTGGACTCTTGTCACTTATGTCTTCGCTTACAGTCTGAAAACATTTGCCGACCACCGGTAATTAAAAGAAAAGTATGAGATCAATCATAAAAGGTTGATAAACAGTAATTGACTTTGGTTAGTAATCGATCTACGACGCTACTAGCACAATTTTTATTAATTTACAAATATGAACTGTCATAATAGACAGATTCCAATGCGATAGTGATTTATACCATCTTGACCAACGAATACCTTAAACATTACATTAAAGGCAGTATGTCAAATTGAACTATACGATTTTTTAAAGAATGGCAGAGACACTATATGCGACTTATGTCGACGTACCTCTCATCTCGTTTTTTCGAGAATCGCCCCCCCGATCAGGGATGCCACTGAACTCTAAATACCGATCGTAAAGTAATGGTTCTGCGAGCGAAAAACTCCTTGACGATGGCACGTTCATTTTCTATACTATGAATACAGTATCGTTTGTACTGTGGGAACTTGAATCAATTCTTTTGTGATATGTGCAGTACAATATTGAATTTTAAATAACCGTTCTTGATGTTAGACCTTCGCTTCGTCTGTCGTAACTTTTAAGATTAAAAAAATTCATCAAAAAAATTAATTAAATATTTTCACGCCTTTAAATTTCGACTTTAGTTCAATGCAGACAACACATCCGTTCGATTCATACCGAATTCAATTTAAACATTTTATATTGACACGAGATCAACCACTACGGTTTATGTTTACCAAAAATATGCAATTGCAACCATAAACGCACCCACCCTGAGTGCTAAGCTTAAACTTAGTTTAAACTAGGATTTATTTTACATTGTTAAACCTAACTCGTTATGCATGGACCACATGCTTGGATTATATTGAGGAGACGGACTAGTGATAACAGAACTAATGCATTCAGCACTAAATTATATCAGACCATTATATCGTTGTTTTTCGGGCTGTTCGGCCGATGTGAGCGAGAAGAGGTTCTCAACGTTTCGCCATCATGTGCCGACGGCATCACGTCATCCCGAAACCATGATACGCTGATTCGATGGCCGTGAGAGCCTTACACGATTTATACCAGAACAGTCAGGATTAATTTATTAAGCTAAGTAATGCTCAGCGAATTATAAATCGATTATCAAACGATTTTTCTTAAGTACCTTAAATCAAACTGAAAATACTCCAACTATGAATCATTATTTAAATAAAGCCCCTTTAACGGTTTAAAACACGATATACATAAGTTAACTTATTTCGAACTAGCTGTGTGACTTAGTCCGCGCAGAATACTTATTTTGGGCATTAAAATTTGTTTATGCAAACCTACAATATATGTCTACCTTGCAAGTAAATCAAGGTAGAAATATACAGTGAGGGACATTTTTTAAAATCATTTATAGAGGAATCATTCTTTCATACATATTTTATGGGTATCTTGAGCCGTTTTCGTCGGATACGCAACGGAAATCCACAAGGATGAATAATTTTCCCCTCTTTTTTTTTCAAATTTCCCGTCACATCATAATTACCATTTTATTTTAAACCGAGTTTAGTTCAAATACATCTGTAAGTGCTCTGAATAGAAATGGTTCATTATTTAGACGAATATTTCTAGACTATTTAGGTGCAATATTTCATTCCTGTAATCCATTTAGAATGACCAGGCAAAAGGCTGTGTGGGCATTTGAGTGGCGTGATAAGCTCTCAACTTATGAATTAACAAACGCTTTCCGTATTTTGACGTTTGACAGTGTCTAGCATTAGTTTGCTTATTTATTGCTATCGATTGTTAGGCATTAGCGAAATTACTAATTACAACACATCAAGAAGGTGTAAGACGTGTTATAATAATATTTACATACATTTTGATTTTCGACCTTTTTTATTGATAGAGGAGGTCAGACTTTTTAAGTTTTTAAATACTGTCTATAGTTTACGCGAGTAGTACACATTTAAATAAAACACTTTAACGGTTTAAAACGCGATATACTAGTTAAAGCCGTGGTCACATGGAGCCGAAGTTAAAAATCATTTTCAAATAAGTTTAACTAATATATCGCGTTTTAAACCGTTTAAGTGTTTTATTTAAATTTTTAAGTTTTTGTCAAATGTCTGTAATGTTAAACACGTTTTTACGATTTGAACAATTTATTATTTTTTACATGTTATTTCACACGAAGGCACTATATTTGTAACTAGTTAAAATAAAATAAAAACAAGTCTACGAGTGTTACGGTTGGAAACGGTAATACGCGAACGGTAATTAACGGTTTTAAATGTACGGCCCCGTGATCACTGCTGCTGTAAAGACTCCAGAACGAAGCTTTGTCCTTGAAAATTACTAAACCAATATATTTCGAGTTATAATCGTTCGAAGTGTTTAATTTACTTTTAGATATTTTAACTAGCTGTGTCAGCGACTTCGTCCGCGTAAAACAGTTATTTTTTACCCTTTGATAAGTAACCTCCTTGGAGCCATGTTGCGAATTAGAAGACTGTTCCATTTTTAAATTACACGATGGATATTATTTTACATATTAATGCATCTGGCCGCTAACACGACAGACATGTATTTCCATACAACTATTGCCGGCCGCTGCTCGACCAGTAGAGCAAGTTCGATTTATCTCGAAGAAGGTTGTCAAAATAAAGCTCAAATTTCTAAGATTGTTTAGAAAACGATCATTTTTGAACGTATGGATTTACAGATATAACTTTTTTATTTAGAATCAGTACGCTAAAGTTTGATAACTTAAAAGAATTATTTTGACAAATGAAATAAATTATTTATTAATTTCAACAGAAGATATCTTCTTTTTATCAAAAGCCGAAGTATGTAATAGCATAAATTAAAAAACTTTCGAATTGAAAGAGGACAACAGCACAAAATGCAGAAAGAAATAATTTAGTGACTTTAACTAAACATTATTGACTATAAACAAGAACCCAACGTAAGACAAAAACTCGCTTAACTTTCCCTCTTTTTTCAGCAGACTTCGGCACCACAAATTCATCCCACATCGCCTAGGTCACACCTGTTACTTAGACAAGGTCAAGCCAAGGATTCAGCGGTTTTATTGTAAATAAACATTTTTATTAAGGCGAGTAACTTAATTTTTCCACGTCTTCTATGAGTACAGCAGTTAAAAACATCCAGAACGTCAGAGTGTACTTCAACATGAATTAAACAATATGTATCGCGTTTTAACGCAAAATGTGTGTGTGCATTTTTAAAAGATTCTTCACGCAATCACGGAAATAACTTAAGCCGCTGGAAAGTTACAAAAATTCGCTCGTTGTCGCATAACGGTGTACATAATCATTTCGGAGGAGGCAATAATTACCCGCATGTCCCTATCCAGTATAATAACATATTATAAGTATTCTGAAGGTGAAGATGTAGGAGTTTTATCTGTGGAATCTCTTAATTCACGATTTATTATAATACTACTGGGATATATACGATTAAGACGTACAATATTTTTAAACTTATATTAAAGACTGTTATTCTTAGCATACGTGTCAGTGGAAGCGTTACTTAGAGGATTACTATTGAGTGTTCAGTGTTTGTACAAAACATTTAAACCGCTTTTATCTAGATGACAGTAAAGTGAGTTTCACGTGAGTGGTTCGAGAACTTGATCGAGTAAGTACTCGGCGAAGCGCGAGATTCGCGCGTTGCGACCGCCTTTCGGAGACCAAACAACGCTTGCGATGCACGCTACCGCCGCAGAACGAGACGGAAGGTGCGCGCGACGCCCGATTGCGATAGAGACAGGAGAGCGGTCGCGGAATGCGGCGTACTTAATTTTTCTAACGGACTGCGGGTCGAAAAGCGCGCGTCGCAGCCGAGGGCCAAGTAGTAAGAACAGAGGGGGTGGGGGGAGGTGAGACGGCTGTAGTACGACGGCCCGCGCTTCTCGTAAAGGAAGCGACCCTGGCGCGGTCATTGCTCGCCGCGGCCGCATTCCTCGCCCCACTCCCCACCCCTCTACGGCGCCTGCGCATCAATGAACGGCGCGCGCGCAACCGCCGTGACATGGCTTTCGTCCTGTCTCATTCCCGCGACGATCCGTTTAATCCTTGTCCACACATAGTTTATCTAATGAAAGTGGATACTAAAAAAATGCGACCAAATCTGAGAGTATAAAAGTTTTTTCAATTGGAATGGAATATCGTATTCGTTTCTACCGCTTCGCTTATCGCCTAGAAAAATCAAAGAGCGTTCAAATTAGTTTTATTTTGCTGTTCACTTATACTTTCAATTGGTTTAGCGTTTTTTTTACAAATATTACAAATTAATTGTTGTACTATTTAACAACAACTACGAAAATAGAAAAATCTAGTCATAACTATTTCTTATCGTATCACTACTTATTATAAACAAAAATTGTAATCGTTTGGTTTTAAATATTCCTCATTATTTAGAGCATACAGGAGGTGGAGAAGTGAGGAAAGTTTTAAATAAGAAGCCGATAATGTTCCGCAGTCACAACACGAAAGAGCACAGTGCAGAGACGTTCCAAAAAAACCTGGTGAACAAGACTTAGGTCACGTTTACGCTGCAGCAGATATACCTACTACCATTAAATGAATTGCATATAGCTTATGGTTCGATTGATATATATTATAATACACATTTGACCCAGGTAAACGTTATTTTGTCATATAAATGAGTAATATTTTGAAACAAATGCGTGAGGATGTACTTAGTATAATAGAAGGATATAGGATGCAAGGAGACAGAAAACTAAAAATCTAACTTAAAATTTATTTAAATAAAACACTTTAACGGTTTAAAACGCGATATATTAGTTAAACTTATTTGGAAATGATTTTTAACGTGGTCTCCCCGTGACCACGGCTGCTGCAAAGCATCCGAAACGTCGGGCCGAAGTTAAAAATCATTTCCAAATAAGTTTAACTAATATATCGCGTTTTAAACTGTTAAAGTGTTTTATTTAAATGTGTAAGTACTACTCGCGTAAACTAGACAGTATTAAAATTCATTGTAAACTCAAGGGTGCATTTATATAATAAAAGTTTTCTGTCATTCTTTTTTATTTTTTGTATTTTACAATATACAAAAAGGACCGTGCATTATTACAGTATCTCTAATAAATTACTATAATCAGACCTAACGGTTGTGTATACAAATTTTCATTAAAATTAGATCAGCCGTTTTGAAGCAGTTTTCGTGCAACACTTGACTCAACAATTTTTTTGGATTTACAAAACAGTTTGGCCTAGACATGATACATTGTATTCATTGCCACATGAAGAATCACTGGTTGGACCAGTGGTATTGATTGGCTGCAGATCACGGTATCCCAGATTCGAATCCATTACACCAATCTAAAACGAAAATACAATTCCACCTATTAATATCCCATGCTGCTTACAGATCTCCTCTCGCGTTTTAAGTGCTGAGGCCCACCAAGCTCCAATGGGTGTTGGCGGAACATAACGACTATATATATATATATATATAAATGTACATTTTTTTAATCCCGTTTCCCCAGCCTGGGGCATGGGGCGAAAACATTTGCGTGTCCGTTTCACTGATCTGATCTGCCCGACCGAAACAATATTTTTTTTCCCTCGGATTTGAACCCAGGACCTCTCGCGCTTATTAATAAGTGAAGTCATAAAATTGCAGTTAGGCTACTCTGGTTCTATTAACGAGGCAAATTTATATTACGCTCCTTTTAAAATATAGATATTGTAAAAGGAGCATATAAAACCGCGTAAGAGTGAATATAATAAAAAGTTTACGGGATTTGAAGCGTCCACCGTCAGTTGTCCAACGGCTTTGTGCTCGGTGGCGCGGTCAATGCACGGCAAAGTGCTGGACTTACAGGTTGGACATGGGGGCAATGGAATCCACGGGGGGGCAAAAAAAGAAACGTGCAGGGTTATGCGCGCATCTCTAAACAAGGCGAAGGTATCAATTAAATACCTTTAAAAATGGGAATTTCTATCTATTCATGGAAGATGAGATTGTTGAAGGATATTTGTATCCCACTACGGCGATGATGACGTAGTGGGATACAAATAGTAGGTAGGTAGGTAAACGTAGGTAATATGAGAAACGTACAATACACAGACAAAATTATCGCTATTTTGTCTGTGTATGTACATTTTTCGGTTTCGCTTAAAATACTAGACATTTTAGCAGTCGATTCTAAATAGTGGAATAGATGATTTTGCTAAGGTTTTTTAATATCCCCTAAGTTTAATTAAATCTATACTAATATTATAAAGCTGGAGTGTTTGTTTGTTTGAACGTGCTCATCTCAGAAACTACTGGTTCAAATTGAGAATTATGAATTGAATATCGATGACGACTTTAGGCTATAAAGCATCATGGTGCGACTAATAGGAGTGAATAACTTTTATAGTATTATTTTTAGGGATGTAACAACATAAAAATCACTGTCGTTGATTCGTCGCGGACAAAGTCGCGGTCACAGCTAGTAATGAATGCATTATAGAATATTTTCTATCTACTGTTAATTTAAGATTAATTTGATTTGCAACAGGCGATTTCTGTAAACTATATCACTTGAATCATTAAAAGCAAATATTTGGAATCGACGGTTGGGAAATTGCGCATTGACTACCCACACTAATAAGCTCTGTTGAAATCTACCTTCTATTTTGAGTTGGGCATTGACGATCGCCGATTTGAGAATCGAATTATTGACGCATTGTCTGTGTAATCGAATAAATGCATTTTGATCGTGTTCATGCGATGCCCCCATTTGCAATGCTAACTGCATCTGTGGAGCTGAATAGTTTTGGAGGATGTTGAATCAAATATTGGCGTTACAATCTACAAATGTAAATAAAAGACGACCGAACGCCGAAATCTTTCTAACGCACGTGCTCTAGTGTGAAGCTAAACATAAGTTTATAAGTATAACTCATGTCCTAGAATTTAAAAGAATTCCACGACATGAAGACTATTCGAAGACTATTATACGAACCAAATACGTTTGGCGTTTTAAACATAAAGTTTTAGTTTTATTGTAGATAGGTAGACAGAGAGTTTCTACATGTGTACACTGTGAGTAAAATCCTGTTTCCACCTTTGGTGAAAAACGAGCACAATTCTGTGTTCGTTTTAGTGATCAAGTAGTTGATCAGACTTTTAAGCCCTGCCTTACTGAAACAATTTATCTTGTCCGGGAATCAAACCCTGGATTTCTTCTGATTAACGCTTTGTTAGGCGCGGTTGACGGATGAATTTTGGAGGAGATGTACACTTGGCTGGCTTCCTCAGAATCGAACCTAGAACTGCAAGAAACTACAAAGTAATGTACCAACGAGAAATTTTAATAGAACATAAATGAACGATGTCTACACACTAACAATAGTATAAAAAATATAACTTTAAATTTCGTCTTTAAAACATTAAAATTTCAGGCACTCTCTACAACATATTATAACATGTTTGACATATCACATTTGTATATGTATGCTATGACAAAATAACGATTATTTATGCATATATCACCAATAACATAATGTAGTCGTTTAAAAATGTCTAGACGCTATAACTGTTTTTCACTACGTTCAACTTCGCGGCCCAAAGAAAGTGTATAGATTTATAGAATGGACATTTGGTAGACACGAGGATGTCATGAAGGTGTTTCATTCATTCCAAAAAATAATCTACTAAATTACATTATATATAAATAGTTTAGTTATAAAAAAAATAATCCCTATTTAAAAGTAATGAATTATTATAATGTTGATTAAAATTTGTGTTGAAAATAAAACTTAGAGGTAGATGACGTCGAGAAAGATATATAGTTTAACTTAAATACTGTCAATAGTTTACGCGAGTAGTACACATTTAAATAAAACACTTTAACGGTTTAAAACGCGATATATTAGTTACACTTTTTTTTAACTTCGGCCCGACATGTCGGATGCTTTGCAGCAGCCGTGGTCACGGGGAGACTTCAAATAAGTTCAACTAATATATCGCGTTTTTAACCGTTAAAGTGTTTTATTTAAATAGTGTATCTTGTCAATCCGTTTGTAATTTACAAATGTAATTTCGTTTGTTATGAGCGGGCATTTGCAATAAACAGCGTACATACAATAGTAATCATATTTGTGGCTCAAAATTGGGACAAGCACTGCCGCTTTTTTTTTAATAACAATTTTCTGGTTTAGATATTAAAACGTTGTCTCATAAAGCTATAAACTTATAGGTCATGTTAGATCTTCAACGGGAAAATAAGTGCGACAATTATCACCAATTAAAGAAGTATTAATTGAATGAAGCCGATCTAAAGAGTAAGGAGATGTTTTTATAAGAGAGGATACTTGAACGCCCCACTATGTGACTTATTATTTTAAAAAACATTAAACATAAATCAGATTTAACGGTTTAAATTGATAAATATATAAGTTGATATATATTTAACCACGGCCCGCCAGTTCTAAGGTTTAAAATGTGAAATATATTAGTTAACATATATGTATTTAACCACGACCCGACATCTCGGATGATTTGCGTTAGGTTAACCTTAATATTAAAGTCTACTGCATTCTACTCGACCACGGCTGCTACAAAGCATCACAAACCTTAGTTCGCATTTAATTATTTTAACTACAGCCGTATTAAAAAAACAAATAAGTTTAACAATTATATTTCGCGTTTTAAACAGTTAAAGTGATTTATTTTAATACAGACAATACTTACAAAAAATCAGTTATGGTTTAGAGACATATAGGCTTGGTAAGATCTCACGTAGATTTAAATATATTTACTACTGGGTCCTAAACTGGGACGTTTGTAAGTTGTAACCCACTTGATTTCTCAGAATTGTAATGCTCCACTAAACATTGTTTACTTTTCATTGTAAATTTAAACTTTACTAGCGCCCACGAGCCGCTGCCGGCTTATGAACGTTTATTTACCTATCTTCATGGATTATATGAGGCTGCTAGAGGCAGAGTGGCCTAATAACAGAAACATGATTTTCAATGAGGAGATAAATAAAACGGCGCAATTAACTTAGGCGAAAATGGATTTGTACTATTGTGTAAGAATTGTGTTATCAATTTTCAGTCACTGTGCTGTACATTAAGCTTTTGAGACTATAAAAATATAAACAAATCAAGTCATAGAATTGTTAGGCTACTCTGCCTCTAACGGCTAATATTTTAATCCATCTTCATTGCAGATGGGAACAGGCAAGTATGGGGTTCATGGGTGGGATTACTTACTAAAAATGAAGTTGATCGAAGTTTTCAAGTGACGCTGATCTTGACGTCACAAAAGCGCGCCAAAATAGTACGCTTGGGAGCACACATTCTAGCGTCACAACCCACGTGACTGTGCAAGTTAAAAGCCGAAAGAACGAAAGTTATCTAATTGTATATATGTCAAAAGACATACAGTTTCTTATCACATATTTTTACAATTACTTACCTTAAGAAGTACATTCTGTAGTTATTTGAAAAAATAAGAATGTTATTTTAGGTTATAATATGTACAAAAGGATAAATAATGCTTATTGCTTTGAAGCAATTAAATTTAATTATAGTTTCAAAGCTTTGGGTTGTGTGCTTACTTAGTTATGTACCTATGGTACGATAGATTTTTGGCGGGAAATGATCGAGGAACGATTCCCGCCGAAACTTGATGTAAAAAACACGTGTTACAAACGTGTTGATAAGACTAATTCGCCTGGAAATCTGGATAGTAAATGAGTTAGGAATATCGAAATTCTGTCCGGATCACCTACAGATGAAAAGGGCGTGTAGTTGCGTTTGGGTCACTATGGATTTTCAAATATAAAAAGCCAAAATAAGTCGATAAAGCATCTTGTTAAGATGTCATATGGCTACGGTATTGCACATACCAAGTAAATGCTTATCTGCCGTCCTCTGTTATAGAAGAATGATTCGCCGCATATATAGGATTATAATTTTTGAAACACCATATTTACTAGGATACAAGGAAGCCATAATCATGTAGTGAGTTTAATCATTGTCAGTGAATTTGAGAACGCGGAACTCGCTCGGTCCCTCGGTCGTTAAAACAAGTGATTCGAAAGAAAAAGGACGCGGCGCCCGTTGTCCTTTTCCGAGAATCCCTTTCTCGTTCGCCGCCTTCTCGGAAGAATCGCACCAACTTTTTACAAATTCTTGATACAATGATGCAACTGCACTTATAAGAAGCCCTTTGACGATCATTTTATTTAGCGGGCTACGCACATTGTGTCAGTGAACCCGCAAACCTGTCTTACGAACGTCTCTTGGCGTTATTGTGCTGTTGTTGAAATGACAGTTTTTTTAGAAGTGAATATATCTGCTAAATTTTCGTTTTATGCGGCATATAGAATGCCGCAAAAGAATCTATAGTTTACGCGAGTATTACACATTGAAATGAAACACTTTAACGGTTTAAAACGCGATATATATGCTGTGAAGCGTCCGAAATGTCCGGCCGAAGTTATAAGGATTTCCAAATGAGTTTAACTAATACATGTCGCGTTTTAATCGGTTAAAGTGTTTTATTTAAATGCGGGAAATATTTAAAATAAGCTGCCCTGGCAAACACTGGCTTATTTAAATAAATATTTGTTTTTGCAATCCTTCTTATAAATTATTATATCTGTTTCCCACAACGACGTCCGCGTCGTGACGTTCTTACAAATCAATCTTAAAGATACTCTTACTTAAACATATAGAAGATACTGCTACGTTAGTTTACGCGAGTAGTACACATTTAAATAAAACACTTTAACGGTTTAAAACGCAATATATTAGTTAAACTATTTGAAAATGATTTTTAACTTCGGCCCGACGTTTCGGATGCTTTGCAGCCGTGGACACGGGGGAAACGTCGGGCCGAAGTTAAAAATCCTTTTCAAATAGTTTAACCAAAATCTCCCCCTTTCCCCCCCCCAAATTTTTTTTATACATATAGAAGATATTTTTTTTTTTGTCGTGTTCTAAACTTAAACTCGGTTTTTTTTTTAATCAACTCGCAAGAACGACGGATTAAATAACCCAAAATAACTAATCCACGCGAACAAAGCCGCGGGCATAGCCCAGTCGTTTGATAATTAAATCGAATAAAAGTTACTCGTACTTAATCGCTCAAGTGAGGTTCCGGATCAAGGTCATTGACCGAGCTGCGTCGGAAATAGATACTCCCCCCACTGTTCCGGTGTTCAGACCTCATTACACACATTCAAGTTACATCCTTAATCACTAATAACGTCTTTAATCAAGACCCTATTGAATGTTTCTCAGGCAAATGCGATATAAACAATATGAGCCTGTTGTATTTTTTGCAGAACATTTCTCTGTAAAATTCTACTGAAAACATCCTTGTCTCTCATACAAAGAACTTATAGAAATACGTAGATAAATTACTGAAAAAAAAAAATATCTTTAATCTGTAATTTAAGCGAGGAGTACACATTTAAATAAAACAATATACACTTTTATAATTTCTATGTTAATATAATAAATATATAAAATAAGACTATATATTTTGTCTCTAAAACACCCTTGTCTCGCATAGAAAAAAACTTACAGAAATACGGAGACGAACAGTGAAAAAATCCTATCATCTGTAGTTTACGCAGGAAGTAGTCATTTAAATGAAACAATTTTAACGGTTTAAAACGCGATATATATACTGCGAAGCATCCAAAACGTCGGGCCATAGTTAAAACACATTTTAAATCAGTTCATTGATATATATCACGTGCTAAACCGTTGATGGTGTTTTATTTAAATTTCTATATATTTTTTTTCACATAATGTGCAATACAAAATGTCTGTGAATATAGAACTAATAAAAGTACAAAGTTTTACAAACAACAACTCTTTTATCAACACCAGTCGATTAAAAATTAGGTAATCAACGAGATAGATAACTATACTTCCTTTAAATATATAATAATAATGACAAAGTACATATTAAATACTGTATATAGTTTACGTGAGTAGTACACATTTAAATAAAACACTTTAACGGTTTAAAACGCGATATATTAGTTAAACTTATTTGGAAATTCTTATAACTACGGCCGGACATTTCGGACGCTTTGCAGTATATATATCGCGATTTAAACCGTTAAAGTGTTTCATTTAAATGTGCTTTGCAGCAGCCGTGGGAGAGGAGCCGAGGGGAGACTCCCCATAACCGCTGCTGCTCTCTCTCCTACACTCACGCAACACTCTCACTCCTACTCTCACTCCCACTTCCACTTCCACTTCCACTCCCACTCCTATTCTCAAAAAGCCCAAGAAGAAAGTTTCATTGTTCTAGCTTAAAAAACCACGAATTTCCATACAAACTTTCATCCCCCTTTTCAACCCTATCAACCTTTTTTGGCTTTAAAAAGTAGCCGATGTCCTTTCTCAGACTCTAAAATATCTGTGTACCAAATTTCATTTAAATCAGTTTAGTAGTTTCGGAGTTAAAGCGGGACAGACAGACAGAGTTACTGCCGCATTTATAATATTAGTATAGTTTTCCACGTTGAATCAATTTCTTTAGTCATCCGAAACGTCGGGCCGAAGTTAAAAATCATTTTCAAATAAGTTTAACTAATATATCGCGTTTTAAACTGTTAAAGTGTTTTATTTAAAAAAATACATATTCCGTTTAATAACGCGATTATATATAGTGTTAAAATGTATTATGATAACATTTTTTTTAATTAATAATGAATCTTCCCCGGCTTATATTATAGAGTATCAAATTTATTACCTGTGCTTTTCTATTGTCTATCGTCTATAGACTAAACGGTACAAATTAATCAGCTCACGATAGACACTTCGACCTGTGAATTCCAAGAAGCGAGACTTTCCCAGCCAATAAGATGGATGCATCTTACGTTCTATTGAATTACAGTGGAAAATGTTACAACGCTCTATAGTAAATTGTCTCATTGTGCAACTGTTCATATAACCAACTAGCTGTGACCGCGACTTCGTCCGCGTGAAATAGTGACTTGGGATAGAATTTTTTAATTATTTAGGCTGTTTATTAATTTATGTAAAGGCGCATTTAAGACAGTCAATCTATGTTGTAAGTGCTACTTTGCCGCAACACTCTCACTCCCACTCCTATTCTCAAACAGCCAAAGAAGAAAGTTTCATTGTTCTAGCTTCAAGAAACACGAATTTCCATACAAACTTTCATCCCCTTTTTCAACCCCTATCAACACGGAAATGACCTTTCTCGGGCTCTAAAATATCTGTGTACCAAATTTCATTTTAATCAATTTAGTAGTTTCGGAGTTAAAGCGGGACAGACAGACAGACAGAGTTACTGTCGCATTTATAATATTAGTATAGATTTGCACGATGAATCAATTTCTTTAGTCATACAAACAATCATGGGACTCTGCTTGTCTTGGTCTTGTCCGGCGCGCATATTAAATATTGCAATTTTTCTATAATTTATATTTATTTGACATCAAACGTGACGCATAATGTGTACTATAATCTATACTATATATAAAGCTCAAAAGTTTGTTTGAACGCGCTAATCTCAGGAACTATTGGTTTGAATTGAGAATGTCTTTTTGGCTATAATACATCGCGATGCTACTGATAGGAGCGAAGAAATCGCGGAAAATGTGAAAGAACGGGGAAAATTATTTATCTTTGTCGGTTACCGTTGCGTACGCTGCAAAAAACGGTTCGAGGTATCCAAAAAGTATGTAGGTATAAAAGAATGTTGTAAATAAATCTTCGCAACGGTATATGTCTATCTTTTAAAAACAAAAGAATCGACAACATTTTTTATACAGTTAATTTAAAAAAATATCAATAAAATATCTATTTGAATGAACAAAATAATTATTTTACATATGTACAAGTTTCAATGTATATCTAAACAAACACCCAATCAAAACAAGTTGCCGCTCTAATTTCGGTAGAAAACAATTCATTTTACACTGCTTTAACTTGTCGTTATTATATAATCACGTCGATAAATAAATAAATATATATGTATATTAATTTATTTACTGCATAATATATACACAATGTTATATACATATTTATGGCGTCACATGTCAACAGCCCCCAAAGTGAAAATCAGTGTAGATCCTTATGCACTTACAAGTAATTACTTGTATTAAGTCATATTTAATTTAATTTAATAATGTTACGAGTATTGAAATAATGCAACAATTATTTACAACAAACAAAACATTTATTTATTATTTATTTCAAATTATGATTTTATCTCAAGGGCCACGAGCGGCTTCGTACCCTGGTATTCGATTGAAACGCGGTCATGTAGTTCCGCGTGTAGGTGGGTCGGTTGATCTCTTCGGCGAGCACATCCGGGCGGGTCGATACGGCAGACGACTTGCGCGATACCAACGCGTTCGCCCCGCTACTATTTCGTCTTAGGACCCCGCTACAACTCACATCGATTCATGCCTCCGATAATTTTATAAGCGCCTTGAGAACATTCGTTAGCTCTGCCCGTTCCAGGTGCGCTCGAAATAATTTCTCTCTCCGATACCAAACGGAACGTAATTATTTATTTTAGTTTTTTAGATTAGTTCACAGACAAGCGCGAGGTTCATTTGAAGGTGAAATATCCCGGCAACATAACATCTCACAAGATGTTCTGTCCACCGATTTAGATTTTTCATATTCGGCAATCCACAGACTGCAACCGAAACGCGATTAAAGAAGGTGATCTATCCATGACCCGATATTCCTACCACGCATTTTATATCCAGTTTCACAGACGTCCTATATGTTTCATAAAAATTATAAATTGATTAAAAACATGTTTGGACCCGGTGGGGAAGCCACGATCCGTTGATTAATGAGCTATACATTACCAATAGACCAACGAGACCGGCAAAAGACGGTTCTTCTTGCGCAAGGGAGACTTACGCTTTTTATTATTATACGATTTGATTTCGTGTTACCACCTTTTCCAATATTAAACTTTACTCCCACACAATTTAAACCCTGTCTCTCCTTCGCTAGTTGTCGTTCGGATTATTTAAAACCACACACATTTAAGATAGGTCAGGTATATAGACAATATTCAGCGTGTCTGTTCATTGTTAATTTCTTATAAATATTCATCGTTTCAGCATGTCAAGCATATGAGAGCTTGTAAACACGAAAACAATACTCAGTCATCCGAATCGTGTAATAATGTTGCTGGTAATAATTTTTCCATATGAAAGGGCGGCAACGCACCATTGATTTTGTAACGCAATCGTGGGCGTGGGTGCCACTTTCTAGTTAGTCTCAGTCCACAAAAATAAACGGCCTATCTTTCGCGTTGAATATGCTCAAAGATGGAATTCGAAATATGAATTTTCAATTACAGTTTCCGTGGTACAATTGTGAAAACTCCTACCGTTTCGCTTTAAGCAAGGTTACGGGTTCGAAAGTCAAAAAAGTTTCGTTTCAGCAGGGCACAGAATTCTATTCCTACTTGCTTGTAAATAACTTGATTACTGAAATTAATGTAATTTAAATCGAAATTGAAAATTAAGTAATTAATGTAATATAAATTGAAAATCAAGCTTTTTAAAATAGAATTGGCTTCAAATTAATTGCAAATAAGTCATGGTAAAATAATGATGGATGCGTCATATAAGATTACCACTTCTTCCAATCAAAACCCATATCCAACAAAGAGCGACGTGTCGACACACTGCACTCTTAAATTTGTTGATCTTGTAAGCTTTTAACTCATTGGGGATTTAAACAAAGCGTAATTATTATTAGAACTATTCATTATTAATAGAGGTTAGAACGTGTAAACTAATGTCTAAATGCCGGTTTAGCTGAGAATGTTGGTTTAGTTAGGACTGCTCCTTAAATTGCGTCGCGTAAACATTTTTGGAGTTCTTGTATCTCCTTGTTGTCAATTATGCAGTTCTCGTCAAACGTATTACGAAAATTCGACTTAGAATTACGGAAGATAGTTAATTTTTACTCGTAATAAGAGATGAATATTTCACTTTGCGTACCTAAATTCTATGATCTTGTATCGATTGTAATAGTGCAACGGACGATATAGTAATCGTATTGTACTATATAAATTCATTCATAACGTGCAGCGCCTCTGTCGGAAACTAATGGAAAACTATTTGAAATGGACGCGCTCTAAGTTGATTTTTCATCAATGCACACGTTAAAGTTATAGGCACAAGGATCGTATTTTAAATGCTTATGTATGTATATGGCAGGACAAGTTAACTACCTTTGATTAATCGATACTTAAAAAATATAGACACGGTTAAAACGCAAATAACAATAGTTATTAATGTTTAACTATGACCTGAGGCTGAATTTTCATCAGCCATGCTATAAATAGTTCACATTTAGACCTGCCTCAAAATGACAGACTTTTATAATTTTTTCATACACGTTTTTTATATATACTATAATAAACTTTATTATACTTATCAAGCAGCTAGAGACGCTATAGTGTACCTAGCGCCATCTATAGGAAAAAATAATCAAACAAGCGAAACACGTTTTATAAAGCTTAATATAAGAGTTGCCCTCTACGGCCACCAGATGGCATTGAAATAAAAATGCAAGGAGAGATTTATCTCTTTTAAACAAGAGAAATTGTATTCATTTTAATAATAAATAAAGTTACGCAGCAATTAATTAAAAAAATATAATACGCTGAGAATGTATGGTTGGAAGATTATAATCTGTCTCGAGCGTAATAAAGTGAAGGTCATTTTTGTCAATTGTCAATTAAAATTGTGTATCTATCTATCAGCTGGTTATATTAATAACTTTCGGTTCTCTAGAAAATGTTACCTCAACTTTCGATTAACAAGCTGTGACAGTGAGAATTGTGACGTATAAAATTATCACCGTGCCTAAATGAATGAAATGAGGCAAATATAAACATCTTAGCAAATTAGTTTTAGTACAGAGAACGCGCGGCGCATTCGAGTTTAGCTTTAGTGAACAAAAATGAACTCCTGGTGCTTGATCATTTTATGTGCTGTTTTTCTTATAATTACAATTAACGGTGCGGTAGTATTAGACAGAGATGATGTAGAACAGCAAGGACTTTATAAAAAATCAGACCACGTAACTATACTGACGAACAAGAACTTCGACAAGAAAGTTTACGGTCAGAAAAATGCGTATTTAGTCCAGTTTTATAACAGTTATTGTGGACACTGCAGAGCGTTTGCGCCTAAGTTTAAGAGTCTAGCCGCTGATATTGAACATTGGGCTAATGTTGTAAAATTAGCGGTCATTGACTGTTCGGTAGAGGAAAACAACGAAATATGTAGGCAGTTTGAAGTAATGGCCTACCCATCACTACGGTATTTACACGAGAACTACGTTAAGGGAAACGCTTTTGTTGGTGATAAATTTTCATCAGCGGACACGGCTGATAAACTTAAATCTCAATTAATTGCCAAGATCCAATCTGAACAAACTCTAGGTCGTCTTCCACTTGCGCCTCGTCTGGATATTGCAGCTTATGCATCCTATGCTGCAGTTTTGAGTAAAGTGCCAAGTGATATTAAATATACCTTCCTTGTATTTGAGAATGAAAATTCTACCGCTGGTTCTGAACTTGCTCTAGATATAAGTGACTATAAGAATGTAATTGTTCGTAGAGTTCATGAGAACAGTGAACTAGCTGATATAGCCGGAGTGACCCACTTCCCTGGGTTAGTTGCTGTGAAATCAACACTAGAACCTACACCCCTCACCCCCAAAAACCCCTCTAGCCAAAATCTACTTAATGCTGTGAATACATTTTTAAAAACCAAAAACTATGCATTCCCTGAGAGAAATAGTGCAGTTGAGGACACTTTAAATAATTTTATCTCTGAACAATTTGCACCAGAGTATGATATTGTTTATTATACTGATTTAGAAAAAACACTAAAAACCAGTTTACACACTGAAATAACAAGGCACAAAGTGCTAAATGGTGAACCTTTACAGGCACTCATTAATTATTTGGATGTTGCTTGTACTGTCATTCCCAGCTAGGAAGAAGTTAAAAGAGTACCTGACAGAATTGCGAGATACACTAGCTTCTAGAAACCAGTGGAGTGGAAACGAAGTGTATGAAAATGTTATAAGGCTTGAGGTTAATCATGATCCGGTATATACGAGCAACTCAGACTACATCGGATGCAAGGGAAGCCAACCACAATACCGGGGATATACATGTGGATTATGGACGTTGTTCCATACACTAACGGTAAATGCCGCCCAAAAACCAGGCCTGGAAGGTCCGAGAGTTCTGAGTGCTATGCACGGATATGTTAAGCATTTCTTTGGGTGTACTGAATGTTCTGTACACTTCCAAGCAATGGCTGATAAGAACAGAATATTTCAGATAAAAGAGAACGATAAGGCTGTTCTATGGCTCTGGATAGCACACAATGAAGTGAATTTGAGATTAGCGGGTGATGTTACAGAAGACCCCAAATACCCTAAAATACAATACCCTAGTGTTTCAAACTGTCCCAAATGTAGACTATCTCGTGGTGCCTGGAACTTACCTGCTGTATATGAATATTTGCAAAGAGTGTATGGCGCTGAGAACATTCGAGATCTCAGAAGAGCAAGATCAGCTGCGGCCCCACAGAGTCCATTCTCCAACCTGGATATCGGGATGCTAAGCTTTTTGTACATATTTTCTTTTTTAATTCTCATATTACTCGTTAAGTTTCTATTATCGAAAAGGTTTTTTAGGAGACGCTATAAACATGCATGGGGGAAAGTATAACCTAACAAATTGAATTCAGTGAATTGTGATTTTGAGAGAATTTTCTATATTTATTAGAATAGTGACGATTGCCACTCGTAAGATTAAATATACTAGCTAAGTAAAGGATTGCACTATTTTTATACTTGTTGTAAAATTGTAGCTCCGTTTATATTTAACGGGCCAAGCTATAAGTAATTTAGTCTTATTATACTACCGGTATACTTCCGATTTTATATGCTAATTAGCCTTTATAGGTAATTTATTTCATTGACTATTTCTAAGTTGTATGTATGATTTTTAACTAGTGTAGGTAATACTAATTTTACTTAACTGACTGACTGTTACTAACAGCTACATTTTCATCTTATATTATATAATTAAGAATGACCCATTTTAATACAACTAATTGAAATATGTATTAAAACGTTTTACAATACATTCCTCCTATACACAGTGTAAGGTTAGTTAAATTATATGAGTAGAATTGACACATCAATTACAAAAACATCTTTAGGTAAATATTGCATAATACCTTAGGTATTAAATGAACTAATATATTTTAAATAATTTAGTAGAAATTAAATACGTGGTTCTTTTAATACTGGTCTTTACGTGTAAGACTAAGGAATTTTACAAAGTAGTTAGATATAAATATATATTAATTATTTATATTTATTGACTGCGTGACATGCACAACTTGTTAAGTGAATTTAAGATATGAATTTCGACAATTAAAAGGAGTGCTTAGATAAAATGAATTATATATAATAGTTCTATATATTAGTGTCACATTTGGTACTGACTATGGTAAAATAATATTTTTAAATACCAACAGCTGTTTAATTTCGTTGTCACATATAATCTCAAGAGCAGCGTATAATTAAGCGATTTGAGTTACCAACTTTTCAATTAACTTGCCATGTCGTTAAATATACCAATTAAAATCATAAGAAAATGTATTAAGCATGATCTTTTTAATGCAGTATCGGGATCTTTCCTGCAGAAGAGATCGTAATTTTCATGATAAGGTTTGTTTTGATGTTTTAAAAATGGTGGCGGTTGGCAATTAGATTTTGGTTAACGTACGTGTGTATCTTATCACCTGGCTCTCGCTTCATTAATTGTGCGTCACATTTTCAGTCTCATTTGAAATTAGTTTCTTATAAAAAGTAATGAGGAACACAGATAAGACTTACCATCAATTTTTTAACGTTCGCTTGCCATATTGCATATGTATGCCGGATGTTTCCTAGTTTAGATAATGTTAACATTTATTTATTTTTGCAGGTATATGGCAGGTTGATTGGGAGGTTTGGAATTATCGTTACACTAGTGAAAAGGACGCCAGCGCTATTCTTAGTGATAATCTCATAGTAGTGACAAGATTAGCTAAATCAATATTGTAGATACCAGTGAATATATTTCCTATTTAAATTCATTTATAGTAAATATAATTTTGTATGTTGTAAGTAATAAATCTATTTTGGTAGACAAACATTTTATTTTTATCCTTTGAAGTAAATACATATATTGATTTAATCTGATGGAAGAAAAGGATATCAAAAAAGAACCTGTCATTTACTTCTTATTTAAAGGTGATAGCATATTTGTCAGCAAAGTACAGACCAAACCTGCGATCTCCTTTAGTTATTTAACGAGGACCAAATAAAACAAACAAATTTCAATTTTTACGAATATAATACGAATAGAAATCACATCAATACACATACATTAATAAAAATGTGAAACACACAAAATTAAAGAGTTTGTGCCACTCAAAGTGCAGCAATTCCCTATTAAATATGGAATGGAATATTGAATATCTCAAGAAGGCAATACTTTCGTCCGATAGAGCATTTGGCTTAACTATATTACAATTTGGTATTCTACTACTAAAAATTATGGAAAAGCACACGATAGTACAAAGATCACAAACTCGGTGGTAACCATGAACAAATTGTAATATTACGGAAACATTAGCAATAAATAAGAATGTTTATTTGCGCTTTATATAATTGCATTTTTGGTTATTTGCAATTCATTAATCCTTACATTAACAACAAAGAAAAAATAACTTCAAATAAATAATTTTACTTAATATGGCACCGGATCTAAAATGCGTGAACTCTATAACAAAACATTTCATGGCAATTATAATATACCCATTTTGAGTAGTAATAAATAATTGTACGTTAAGTTAGCAATAAAAGATAATTGCAATAAATAAATATCTTACTTTAAAAATAGATCTCGTTTAGTGGATACTGAAATTTACAGTAAAAGAAAATAAATAATATATCTACATACCATAAGTAAAGAGTATTTTAGTGGTTAAAGTTTTTAGGCATAGAGATTCACATAGTCGATATTAGCTGGGCCTAGCTACAATAAAAAAAAATACAATCCGAGGGTATATAAAAAAAACATTATAATTCACATTTTTATATAATCTGTGGTATACCTATAGGTAAATGATGTCGACTATAGAAAAATATATGACCTAAAAATTACTTAATCTAAGAGAATTGGCGAAAATGCTGTGTCAGTACAATTGGAAGAAAAAGAACCGGCTACAATTAGGGTATTGTGCTGTAATCGGCAGACGGAGATGTCAGTTGTTATTGGTGACATTGGTTGCCTTGCGCAGTGATCTGCTGTAAACTTTCGAATAATAACGAAATACTGACGGTAGTTTACGCGAGTTAAATAAAACACGTATTTCATAACGCGAAATTCGATAGTATTATACATACGTAGTTCAATCTTGACTTGTTATTAGTAAACAACGTCGGTCAGGCGTCTAAGGACTTTTTCAAAATTGTCTTAGGTAACGTATTTTAGCTTTGAGCTGATTTATTGCTTCTTTAACATCACACCTGGCTTCTAATAGATTTGAAGCAGTGAATTTGAAATTACGAAGAGGATAAGGAAATAAATCCAACGTTAAGTTTTTAATTAACTCACTAAAACCTCTGCATTAATCTGGTCATATTTATTTGAAAGTACAGCAAACGATCACTGTTCGAAGTTAGTGGCAACTATTACAATATGTATATGTATTTCGGAAATCGCTCGAGTTATTAAAGGGATACACACAAATATTGTTACGGTTTCAAGTCAATAGATATTTCATAAGATTACAAACCAACGCAGTTTAGCACTAGTTCATACTTGGTGCTCGATTGTCTTAACAAATCCTAACAAAGTACTGTCTATAGTCTACGCGAGTTGTACACATTTAAATAAAACACTTTAAAGGTTCAAAACGCGCTATATTAGTTAAACTTATTTGTTTATCCGTCTCCCCGTGACCACGGCTGCTGCTAAGCATCCGAAACGTCGGGCCGAAGTTAAAAATCATTTTCAAATAAGTTTGACTAATACATCGAGTTTTAAACCATTGAAATGTTTTATTTCAATCCTAACAATATGGAACTTCTATAGAACAGGGCTTGGAACTTCAATAGTAATTAGTAGTTTGTGTGCGATGTATAGCGACTTGAATTATCAGCTAGCTTCGTATAATCTATCATGACGATTCTAAATGAATAGTAAAAATTGCATCAAAAACATTCGCAAAACTAAGTTTGTGCGATCAGACTATATTTATAAAAATATTGAATTGCCCTTAGTCGAGTATGAACTAGCGCTGGCTAAAACTAAATCAAAACGTAACGTAGTGTACAATATCGTTAGAAATTTTCAAAAACAACGCCCTACGCACACGCTAAGTTACCATAAGAATTTCTACACTGCCTCCCCTGAACACCAAATAGTTTCTTTTTATCCTAACGACAGCTAAATAAAAAAATATAGGTATTCTCATTAGTATAACAGTCATTTGTAATCTACGTTCAGAACATTTAGGCGTTTGGTCGTAATTTTCAATGCGTTACAAGCCCACGGACCTGGTGAAAGACCTCTATTTATAATACAAGAACCTAATGACACGTACGTTAATTCGCAAACCTTCGAAACAATAACCGGATATAGTTAGTATAGGTTGTTTGCACACAGTAGACGTAGCACTTGTTAGAATATATAACACTTCACTCGAAGCTATTTCACGCTATGCTATTGGTTACCTGTTTATACGGCGCTGATTCCCTGTGGACAACATTGATCAACATCTGTTACATGACATTTGAAATGGTTGAATAATTTAATTACACATGCATACGTTAGCTCAATTGATAGCACACAGTTGCAGTTCGATTCCTGTCTTTAGAGATCTTTGAATATATAGTTGCCATGTGTTCTCGCCTAAAAACCAATTTCGTCATAACTAAATGATAAAGTAAACTCGATGATGTAAAATTTTAAGCGAAAAGTAGCGAGTGCGATGGAACTGACATAGCTTATTATACTTAAGAACTATGTCACAACACCGATACCAGAGAATGATATATGAATGAAAACAGACAAACAATATAGGCGGATAGCATTGTTACTTATTATACACTACAGTGTAGCATACAAATTAAGTCAGAAAGTGCCGCTGCTGAAATTGCTATTACTAAACGTGTTGCTTTTGCGTTAACCACAAGAGATCCTGGTTTCGAATCCCGGGGAAATAATAAAAAGTTCAATTTGTCTGTAAATAAACATTGACTAATGAAACGGAAATACGTTCGCCCCATGCTCCACACGGAGATACGGGCAATCAAACTGTTGCATAAAAACAATATTTTTGTTTAAATACTGTCTTTAGTTTACGCGAGTAGTACACATTTAACAAAACACTTTAACGGTTTAAAACGCGATATATTAGTTAAACTTATTTGACTTTGCAGCAGCCGTGATCAAGGGGAGACCCCCGGGACCACGGCTGCTGCAAAGCATCCGAAACGTCGGGCCGAAGTTAAAAATCATTTTCAAATAAGTTATATCTATATAGAATATATCGCCGTTTTAAACCGTTAAAGTGTTTTAATTAAATATTTTTTTACTGGCAAAGCTTACTAGTCTAAATCTAGAGCAAAAGCATTAGTGACGTTAATATTTACCTCCACTAGCATTATCTAATTGTGACTCATTCGAGTTATCGCACTTTCCGTGCGGAGTCTCCCCGTACCGTGGGCGTGGGAATAGACGTCGCTTCTGTTATGCCCTAGTCCCAAACAGCGTTAGTTCAAGCACAGAATAAAGAGACAAGAAGCAGGCATATATTTAAACGCGCAAGTCTCTATCTATTGTTAACTGAATCCTAGATAGGATTAATTGCGCGCCTAAAATAAAACTGCGTATACGGAACCACATTCATGCTTATGTAAGGGCGGCTTGTTTTCGTTCTTCTGTTAATATAGATGGGACGACATTCCTCGAGTTTTATTTCAAGTTAAGTTTAGTCTTGACACTCTGTAGAATTACGACAAACGGACAGACAAACAAAAACATTTTGACAAATCTAAATAATTTTTAAAATTTTATAGAGAATAAAGTTTATTTGATTTTTAAATTTGTTATAGATAATGTGAGCCTTTATATATCCCGGTTGGACTCCATAAAAGCCCTGCTGAACAGCTTTAGTCTACATTAACCTACAGACTTTATCCTCTCTCACACACACACGTATGAGTGCGTCTTTCGTCTTTTGTCATAACTAATGTGTTATGTTGATATATTTCTATATAAAAAACAACTTGTTATCCATCAATTACTGTAATTTTAGATGTATATATTGCTTCAAAAATTATAATCTCTACTAGCAACCCGCCCTTACATTTATAATCAAGTTAATAATGACAAAAGAAAAAGATGACACTACTGTTTTGTTTGACATCGCTAAAACATAATAATTTAGATCGAAAACGAACTGGCTGGACACATTTCAATATGAAATAGTTAAAAAATATATAAAGCTCAGATGCGCGTATGAGTAAGTTATAATGATTCACACAATGTTAGAATGGAATCAAAAATTATGTACGATTGGTAAACTAGTTAACTCAACACGAACAATACAGCATAAAAATTTTAAATACCGACTGTTATTTAACAGAACGATAGCTATTCTATGCTCTGATAACGACCAGTAACGGCCAGTTAGTCCATTGTGAGGTAATAAACTAGAGCTATGGACACTGATAATAGTAAAATGAAAATAATTTCTTTTTGATTGAACACGAGTGTTCAAGGTCCAGTTGCTTTTTTTTTTGGACTGGACACAATGACTATTTTATGTTTTTGTTAGTTTATATTAAGGAAATAAAATTTGAACAAGATGTTAATTTTTTATGATAGAGGACAAGAAATAATCCAGCCAACATCTAAAGTAGATGGCGCTGTCGATCTATTGTGGGCATCGCAGTAACGAGCTTATCTATATAAAACTTTTTAATTAATTGTACCTGTACTAATTTATAACGCTTAACTATAGCTAAATTAACGTGTCAACGTGATAATATTATCAGGCTACACAACATTACAATTTAAACCGGCAATATCTTCAGGGGTAGCAAATCGTATCGGAAAACACGATCGATAAAATCAATCGCAGATCGTATCTAATTTAATAACACGATGAACATAAAACTGCGAATGAGGCATAAAAGATTAAAACTAATCAGCAAATACTGAAGTGGAATTTCACGATAAGCGAATTATTTTATAATCCAAGTTTAAACAAAATTATTTTATAATTAAAGCGTTAGCTTGAAAACAGTATGTAGCTTGTAGACACGCATGGGGTACGCTTGATGGTAGTTCTTAGACATACAACATCTAAACAAGATGTGTTGTCGGCCTTTTTAGGCCTTGAACATTCGGAAATCCAACCTGAAATCGTAACGCGATTAATTCCTCTGTGGATTCATGACCCAGTCGGAATTTTGAAATTGCTACCTACCTATTTATTACCCACATTTCTCATAGTCTAGCATGTTTCAAATAAATTATAAAAAAATATTTTAAAACATGGTTGAGTCCGGTGGGGAACGAACCCACGACCTGTTGATTATAAACCATATATTTCTACTATTACAAAGTCAAAACTTATAATCAATGTTCGTTATCGTGCTAATACGAAACGGCTTGACCGATTTTTATGGAATTTTAAGTGCTCATAAGTGGATTTAAAAAAGGAATAGTTATCATACGCTTAAGTGAGACTCTCTATTCATTATGCTATTCTTGTAGAAAATATTCTTAGGTCTATAATATCACTTAGTAAGTTATCCCCGCAATTTTTTTTTCTACTTAAGTTCTTAAATAGTTTATTCGTTTAAATAAAACACTTTAACGGTTTAGAACGCGATATATTAGTTTTGAGACCTGTGACGGTGTCTCCCCGTGACCACGGCTGCTGCAAAGCATCCGAAACGTCGGGCCGAAGTTGAAAATCATTTTCAAATAAGTTTTACTAATATATCGCGTTTTAAACCGTTAAAGTGTTTTATTTAAATGTCTACTACTCGCGTAAATTGTAGACAGTATAATTTATTCGACCAAACAACGTATTGTAGATCTTTGATCTCATCGTTCAAAACCTTTTGACATATCAAAAGATACGAATGACCTTGCTCTGGCGATGTTTGCAAGTTTAGTTAGAATTCAATTGATATGAGAAATGAGGATACTTAGCTACATACATTATTTGTTATCATTCAAACAAACGATACCTAGCAGTTGTTAGAACTATTGTTTTAACCTTTCAAGGTCGTTTTTGACGCGGCAAGAGTTTCCACCTTTCACCAGAAATGTTAGGTAAATATTTACTATTACGCAACTAGTTATTAACTTCGTCAACACAAATTGAAATACCGTCTGTAGTTAACGCGAGTAGTACACATTTAAACAAAACACTTTAACGGTTTTAAACGCGATATATATTAGTTAATCACAAAATGGGGCCACTGAAAATCAGTGTTGTAACACACATGTGTTTATTACATTATGCTGAGTGGCTCCTGTTTTAGGAGTTGCCATAGACATTTTTTTTTATATTGGTTGTATAAATTTTATATATAGTTCATAGATTTTATTTCTGTAAGCAACTTTTGAAATGAATGTTTTTATTATTATTAAATGAAATTACGTCCTTTTGCGTTTTAGTGTTAATACTTTATAAAGAATTTAATACTTATTATTAAATAGCTTTAGGTAATTGCCAGCTTTTAAGACTATGGGTCACTCGAGCGCATTCATGACTCTCGGGCAGCCAGAACTATAGGCAATTAAAGACGATTCATGAAATATGTATTAAAATTAAAAAATATTTTTTTAATTTGAGTATTATTTTTGCAACAGCGGGCCACCAGTATTCGACCTCGTATGGTAAATAGGTGACCACTCAATTAATCAAATATCTAAAGTTTCGTCCCAGTCACGAACCTCGTCCTCAGATGAAATAGCCGGGGATTTTAATCGCGTTCAGATTTCCTACTGTGGATTTCCGAATATCTAAACACAAAATAGGTAAAGCGCATCTTGTTTAGCTGTTAGGTTAGGTGTAGTGACATGGGGAGTGTGGTAATCGTAGGGCCGAGCAGAACCACTAAACACGCCACAAGCTCTCTATGGTGCTTGGAGGGAGACCTGGCACATGGTTAAATGATATTTGATTTAATTTGAAAAAGAGTTCGAGTTAGATAGTTTACCAAAATGTTAGTCCACAGATTAAACGAATGGAAAATGGTATTTCGTGTGACATCACTAAACGTCTTAAGTACTCGATATACAATAATTGGGCACTTATTCATGGCATTTGGTTAAATCAGAATTTACCTTTATCTTCGAGATGTCGACACCGGTCACGCCCTTGACCAGATCGGGAATACACTGCACGATACTTAGTACTTCGCCGGTGAGTTTAGCTGCACCCACTTCACCACCACCGCAGGACACCATCGTTACTTTGCGCGCTTGCGACAATGGGGCCGCTACTTCGGCTGCGACCTATATAACGGATTATATCTATACTATGAAGCTGAGGAGTTCGTTTAAACGCAGTGATCTCGGGACCTACTGGGTCGAATTGAATAATTATTTTTGTGTTGGTTAGAACGTTTAGTGGAGATGGTTATAGGCTGTAAAACATCGCGCTCTGGCCAAAAAGAGCAAAGAAAGAGAGGGAAAATTTATTAATCTGAATCGTTGTGGGTTTTCGATGCGTACACTGCGAAAACGGTTCAAGAAACCAAAAATCTATCTATAAAAGGGTGATTTTAAGATTAACTCGCAAGAAAACGCGATGGGACGCGGACGAAGTCGAGGTTAATTTGGGTCGAGGGAAAGAGCGGAATCAAGGGAGTGCAATCCCAAATTGGACCTGCACTAGAGATTTTCGTATTTTTTATGATTTCGCAAAAAAAAGTTGTGAAAATTTCAATCTTTTTATTTTCATTTGTATCTATGCTTGGCGTGGGAAGTGTGGCATATCGTAATACCACTCCTCCTCGGAGACAATGGCCGACCAGAACCATTAAACACACCACCAGCCCGCCTGGTGCTTTTTAATTTATGGGGGTAAGTATGGTTCCTATAACTTACCCCCATAAATTAAAAAGTTAAAGTCAAAGCCTTATCCTCATACATTAAATGAGACAAAACAGAAAACGAACCCTAGGCAGTGTCTCCAGCATCATATCAACCATCGCAGCGGAACCGTACTCCTTCCACGCGTCAGCTTTCTTCGCCATCTGTTCTGCGTCTGCTACTGCCTTCGCTTTGATTGCATATGCTTCAGCCTGAAAAATGAAAGACATACATAAATAAATAAATAATCCGATTATGATCGCAAAGTACAAAACTTACAACTAAAATGAGTACCTAATAAAAAACTTACAATATTAACTTTGTGCTAAAAGGCGTCAAGACTCAGCTTGCAAGCAAGGCTTGGTAAGCGCTGATTTTCAGTCTGACCCTATCAGATAACAAGTAGTATCAAATACAGTCGGTAGTTTACGCGAGTAGTACACATTTAAATAAAACACTTTAACGGTTTAAAACGTGATATTATATTAGTTATACTAATTTGAAAATAATGTTTAAAACGTCGAGCAAAAGTTAAAAATAATTTTCACCCATATAATAGTACAAAATCACTTTCGCCCAAGTTAATTGCGCAGTTTGATTTATTTCCTTATAAGAAACCGTGCTTTTCGTTATTAGGCCACTCTGCCTCGAACAGCCTCATATATAATATTTAATTGTACACTCACCTCGCCCCGAACTTTAACCGCTTCCGCTTCAGCCTCTGCCTCGAGTATGGTCTTCAATCTATGCGCTTCTGCCAATTTCTCTAGTCTAAACTTCTCGGCTTCAGCTGGCCTGTAAAATGTTATTGGCAAATATAATTTCGTATAACTCTTTAAACACATAAATTAAGAATATAATTTGTTGTTATTAAACGCTATTATGAAAAATAAACGTACATATATAAATATATTATGAGCGTAAAGATGAACAAAATGTTTATCCATTTGAAAAGATTTTACCGTCAACATGATTCAAAGCCACTTTATCGAGAAGTTGAGAAGATAAGGCGTAATTTGACGATATGTACACGATTACACAATTTGTAGTACCACATCTTTTAAATAAAACACTTCAACGGTTTAAAACGCGATATATTAGTTAAATTGGTAACTTTTGCCGTGGTCACGGGGAGGCGGCTGCTGCAAAGCATCCGAAACGTCGGACCGAAGTGAAAAATCATTTTCAAATAAGTTTAACTAATATATCGCGTTTTAAACCGTTAGTGTTTTATTTAAATGTGTACTACTCGCGTAAACTATAGACAGTACCATATCTTTTTCATCTTAATATCAAGTCTAAACAGTATATAAATCTATACTTAGCGATGTGATTTAGACTATAAATCATCACGCTGCGACCAGTAGAAGCGAAAAAAACAGTGGGAATTGTGAAACAAATGGGGTAAATTATTTATTATTATTAACGTCTCTATTATTATAACGTCGTGGATAACAGCTATTATTCATAAATATACAGATCTCCAGTCTACTTTAAATTTGACACGAACATTCCTTACTTAAAAATTATGAAATACCGCAGCCATATAACATCTTTACTAGATTTTGGTTTTGGATACTTGGAAATCCGTAGATCGAAATATGATTACACTTAAGGCCTTTTTCATTTGTGGACGAAACTTATCCAAAGTTTCGTCCACAAATGGACGAAACTTTGGAATGGATGGAATATCCAGCATTTCATTTAATCCTCGCATTTCTAGTTACGCTTGAACCTTACTTGCGTACGGTGGCTTCTAATTCCCTCTCCCGCCGCTGAACCTCCCACTTCTGAACATTGATCTCCTGGGTTCGTTCCACCACAGAGATTTGCATCTGCTCCTCTTTGATGCGTTGCTTCGTCTTCGCTGCTTGCAGTTCGTAGGCCATCTCGGCTTCAGCCTGTGTTTATAGAATTAAACATTATTTAACTATTACACCTGCCGAGTACTAAACACATAAGTAATACAATATTTATTAAACATTGAAATGAAAATAATTAATAGATATAAAGATTTATATTCTGATTTATAGAATAAACCACAAATCTAACGCATGGGATCCCATCTGATGATAAAAAATATTAAAGTTTTCAAAGATCACTGACAAATCAAAGTGAATAAACTCTAGACTTAATCTCACTTTTATAGTTTGAACTTCAACATCATAGGCCGCCTTCTTCAGTTCAAAGTCACGTTGGGCTTTCGAAATTTCCGTGTCGTTTAAGAACCTGGCCGCCATTCGCTGTTCTTCAGCCATGGCCTCCTTGATCCTGGCTTCGGCGTGGGCTTCTGCCTCCCCAATACGAGCATCCCGTTTAACTTCCGCTGTGCGAGCCATACCCAACGCTTTGAGATATCCCTAAAGAGTAAAAATATTGCAGGGCAGGTAATATACTTAGTATATACTGTCTGTAGTTTACACGAGTAGTACACATTTAAATAAAACACTTTAACGTTTTGAAACGCGATGTAAGTTAGTTTAACTTATTTGGACATTATTTTAACTACGGCCCGATGTTACACTTCACAAAACCGTGGTCATGGGGAGACGGGGTGCACTGCTACGTACCTATTTAAAATAATTTCCAAATAAGTTTAACTATATATATCGCATTTTAAAGCGCCAATTTTTTTTATTTAAATATATGATTAATTAGGAATTATGATTACATGCACACACTTGGGACTTAACAGCATCAAGTATATATAAAGTGCAATATAAAAATGATGTATTGGAAATAAATATCATCTCATTTAAATACCTTTTCTAATTACAAAGTAATACATTTTTGTGTAGACCAGTATACATAATAAAATTTATAATTAACATAAAAATAAATTATATATATCTTTCATATGTAAATATATAATTTCTTTGACTAAAAGGAATCTTTTCTTGTAAGGAAAATAAAAATTAAACTGACATATTGATCAACAAACATAAAATAGGAATTTAATTTATTTCTCTTTGAGTGTGATTGATGAAATACATACAGACAACTCTCTAACATTACTCATAGTGCAAAATACATTATTTTCAAAATAGTCATACCGCTAAATAAAACATGCTTTTAGGCAGTGCATTTGTAACTGGATGTCGATAAGATCTACTAAGCACATTATATCTATCTTTAAACTGAGTCGCTTAAAATGTTTAGCACTACTCATATACCATACAGCAAATATTATACTACATAACCACTAATCTACACTCTATAGAAGCATAGTCCAACAATTAATATACCTTTGCTTCCTGTCATGCCATGCCAGGTCAAAAAATTGTAGTATGAAAGAGAAAATAACATGTGGCTATATTTTGTAAGTATAAAAAAATTTAATACAAGACTAGAATCGATGTAATTATGAAAGATCACTAAATGCAAACTACAAGGCATGATTGATAATTGATAGAATCAAGGTAATAAAAATGTGTGATAATATACCTCTTCGTCCCGAATATCTTTGAGGGTGTAGGACACTACTGTAATTCCCATGTTTATCAGATCGCTGGAGGCAACTTCAAACACCTGAAACCATTTTATTTGAGATTGAAGTATATTAAAAACTTAGATGTAAATTACTATAAACATCAAGACTTTTATAGTAATCTTCTGTAAAGAATAAACCATTGTGCCAACACAAAACTTATAATGCGCTTAGAAGCAACATTTTAATTTATTTATAACAACTTATTTTACCATTACCGGACAATCTCAATGCAATAGAAATAGTAAATGATTACATTATAATTGTTACATAAAATAACATTACTCATGAAGTAATGGTTTTGTCAATTCACATAATTGTGTTTGTATAGTAATAATAAATTGATACATTAGGTTTAGATTAGAGTACTATAATTATTTTAATAAGACCACTGAAAGTTCACTTATACAATGAACACACATCTTACTGACAACATTTTTATACAATGTTTTTTGCAAGATTATGTTACAAGTGTTTCAGTTTTAGCAATGAGGGGAACAAGATGTATTTCAGTTCGACAATTGCAATTGAAAATATGGAGTAAAAAGTTTATTGCTGTACCTTAATTATAGTATTAAAAAAAAATTATTTTCTCAACCTAAAATACATTTGTAATTTATAATACATCAATAGACACGTATGTATCTATTTTCCATTATATTTCATTGGTAAACAAGTATTGGGTTTCTGAAGCAGAATTAATTTTATTACGTTTTCTGAAGATCCTTGTTCAATGCTATATAATTGTTTTCATGCATCGATGTGAAATTACCTTTTTGGAGAAGATCTTTCTGTCTTTGTATATTTCTTCTACTGTCATCGATCCCATAATAGCACGCTGATGACCTTCAAGTGTCACAAGGGCTATATGTTGGATTTCCTGTTCCGACTTTCCCAGAAATTGTTCACATGCTGATAGAAGCATCTCTGCATTTTGACCTTGAATTTTTACCTATAATCAAAACAATATGTTTATGTGTAAATAATTGGCAATTGGAAATAATAAGATCTTATTTTCATTATATTAAAGCTTTACCAAATTTTCAAAAAACTCTTTCAACATTTCTCTCTTGCTATATTAAATGATTTGACAACTTTGTTTATATCTTCATTTACAAATATAATTATTTTGATTGAAGTATGTAAACTTAAGTAGAGGACACAAGCCACGTTTGCTCTCAGTCATTCATCAAAATATGAGTAAAACCAAAAACACTATGTGTTCACCACTCACTAAATGACTTAATAAAGCCGTAATAGAGGTTAATTCATTGATGACAAGATAGCCTGTTAATAATTACACATTTCAGATTAAGGAGGTTAAACCAGTGACATAATTGGAAAGGCATGCATAACTGGGGACAAAATTTTTGTGATTATGTTCATATTATAAAATTAGAATTGCCCTTCTGATATATTCATACTTCAAAATTACCTGAGCTATCCCAGTCACAGATATTGGTACACCCTGGCTTGTATAGACTGTCGGTGATTCCACTTGCAAGGTCATAGTATTAAGGGATATTCTTTGTATGCGTTGTATTGCAGGCCATACAAAAGCTCGTCCGCCAGGAACCAAAAGCGGCTTGGAATAACAGCATCCTATATAAATTAGAATGACATCATCTTCACATCAAACATAATATGAATACACTTTTGAATGAGTATACAAAAAAAAACAATTGTGGCATTATTAAGTCTATGTTTTCGCTTTGCTTTTTAATTATAATTATTACTGAAGTTTCAAATATAAATAGTGTTATCAATAATCTTATCAAATGATCAGTTAGCATTTTATGAAGACATTTACATTCCTTTGTCCAAGAAGTTGTATAGAGCCATTTCTGAAGCTTGACTATCAAAATTAAAAATAGATTTAATGCCAGCATTTAACATTATAAATAAAATTATACATATTTCATCATAGCACAGAAGTCTGATCACCATTCTGTTGGAGACTATTACTCTTTCTTAAGCACTAACATGCAAAATCTCATTAATGAGATAATTAAATAGCGAACACTTTAATTTGGAGGAAGTGAGTTTGTATCAAAATTAGCAAAGCAATCAAATAATACAACTACAAACATCATGTTATTAATGATTCAGTCCGAATTGTGCTCGAACATCGTAAAGTGGATTAAACTCATAAATAGATTTATTATAGGCGCGGCAATTGATAGGTACTTATAATAATTACCTACAACTATAAATTCGCCCAGCAAGAAATAGTATGGGAACATAGACAAATACAATGCAACACATACCTTACTTTACATGAAATATTGAGAATATATACTGATTACTTGCAGTAAAATAATGATAAATCTTCAAGGAAAATCTTACCTGAAACTACAAGCGCCTCGTTTGGTCCACAAGTCACAAATCCCCAAGTCATGTTTATTATTAGGAAATCGCCACTATAACGAGCGTTTTCAAAAAATCTTATTTTAAACACTTCAAAACAAAATAATCAAACCATTTAACTTTATTATTTTAAGAAATAGTGGAGTTGTAGTGGGGATGGGAAACTGGGAAACGCCAAAAACATAGATAATGATGTAGAATACAGTATTGTTTATGGTGTTTGTTGGAGGTTATATATATTGGCTGGCAACACTTGAATTAGGTTTTTAAAATGTTCTATTCTATGTTTATTTGAATTCCCAGGATATTGTTTTATGACTAAAAACAGGCCTTCTCTACTCGACACGCCGGACGGAACACGTCGGGGTTTTTGTACGTTTATTATACAAATTTATATTAACAGTGCAAATATATATGTGAAAGTTTAAGTGGGTGTGTTTTCATAAATATATATAAATATCCCTGCTTCGCCCTCCCTCCTACGAGCCGAAGCTTCCACGAGGAACTATAATAATATTCCAACAGTATTAACCATAAAGCAAAGATAAACAATTTTAACAACATACTAATAAATTACACCACAGACTAGAGACATACATCTTACATTCTATGCGAAATGTCAATTTAGCAGCCGCCATATTTTAAATACTATGAAGTATATTTAATATTGTTTTCGTTAAAATAACTACAAATAAATGTGTCTTGGATGGTTGCTATTAATGTTTGCACCGGATTTAAAAATGCATATTATGTGGATACAATGTTCTGAGTAACATCTGTGTCAGTGGGACGAATTATAGTATATCGTAAACACATGATTCTGACCAACTTTTGTCTTATTTACAATGTTTGACATTCAATTATTGTAGGCCAATCTATAACATAATATATAAGATCGAAATGGTAAGCTTTAATCCTTTAATTCTTGATTAAAATCCTTACATACGAGGTTATGGTTCTAAAATATTTTTTATTTGTTTGATATCTCAATCACCCATCATATTACTCTGTTGGCCTAAGCACCAAAATAGGACCTTGACGTCCAAAACTAAATCAATTTGTAACAGTTTAATTGAATAACAGCAATTTACTTATTGAGTAAATAGCTCAAATCAGCAAAAGACACTAATGTGTGATCCATATATAATTTTAATACATGTTTCTAAGTAATGGGATTTGGTATGTTTTGTTTAAATGCACTTCAGTTTATCATCTAATATGCTTTAATGTAAATAAAACAATGTTTCAGCTGTTTGAAGCATCCAGCGATATGGAAAGCATGTGACTAACAGTTGTTTTGGACACTTAAACCTTGTTAAACTTAAACATATTTTGGAAATGATATATGAGAGGTATTGGTATAAATTTTTAGCTGTCAATATTCTATTTTGCTACTCTTAACTTCGAGTACATTAAGTGATTGTGCATAGGTTAAAATCATTGATTTAACCATCTATAAGCTCTTGAAGGAAAAATTGATAGTTCAGATGTGTACAAATACGTTTTATTTACTGTATTAAATCACCTCCATAGAATTTTTTTTATTCACAGCTTAGGTAAGAAAAAGATGAAATATCTCATGAGACTAACACGAGAGAATATCTGACTCATTGTAGAAGTCATAACAGGACATTATCCTCTATCTTAAATTGATGAGAGTAAGCAGCGACTCCCTATGCTCAGAGTACAAGGAGTTCAAGGAAATAAGCTAACAACACCTTACTAAATGCTCCACATACTCAAAATTAAGGCATAACACATTGGAACTGACAATATAAAGGAAAATGATATATCAATCTAAAAAAATTAATGTTGAAATCATTATTAAGATTCTACAAAGAAACCAGAAGGTTGATGACAGTTGGTGAAGGGACACAGTGAGAGTTGGATAACCTAATCACCTCTGCAAAGTGGAAATGGGTGAAGTGGTTAGCAATTGGGATTGGTCTTATCATCGGGACCTCTATCGGTATCCCCATAGAAATAACATAAAAACCATTTATCCTTCCATGTTGTAGAACAAAATATCTAAGGTTCATTTTCCTTTTCAAATTCTATTTTGAATAAAGTAAAAGCATTTTAAGATAGACGCTTACATTTGTTAAATATACAATATTTGTTTCTCTTTTACAAAGAGAATACAAAACTGTTTTATTAAGAAATTAATTTACTCTATAGCCTGTTGTATTATTGTTTTTTTTAAATACATATTCATATAAAATTAAAGTTGTCGTGGTTAATGGTTTTTTATTGGAATGGTTATCCAGTTGCATACTTATTAATTTGTTATATGCCAGACTGATAGATATAATTATTACAAACGTCTTTTTGTTTAAGTTATTTTGAACTTATTTTATTTGGCACTAAGTCAACATTTTTGTTAGTATTTTAGAATTATATCCCTCTCCTGGGATTGAGGAAATTCATATGACAATTATCAGTTATATAAAACAGGAAAATCCCGTTTGAGCCACGGAGCGAACACGTTTCTGTGATCGTTTTACCGCCCGGTTTTCATTTACAGCCAAGTAGTTGATCAGATTTCAGCTCCCTTCTCAACTCTAACAATTTATTGCTTCAGGCTTAGAACCTTGGACCTCTAGAGCTTTACGCAATGTTAGGACACACATATAAGATAGGCGTAGTTCCTGCATATATGCTCATCGAGTTCGACAAAGCACCAATGACATTCTGGGGGCATTGTGTGAAAAGTACACGGTGCTGCTAAAACGATGGAGCACCTACTGTGTATATTTCATTTAGTCTACTTAATTTTAGTGACTAACACATTATAATTAATTAATTTTAAGAAATGTATGGATTTATGGTCTGACAAATAAATGATTATTATTATAAAGGATATATTTCTGGCTGTGTGCGATTTATCGTCAAGTCGATAAAAAAGTTTCCTCTACGTTCGAGCTTGCGGCATACACAAACCTGTGTCTTCACGGATCGATTTTATTTATAGGCAAGCAGTTATTTTAGCATCTGTGAAACATGTGTCATAATTTACAATGACGTAGACCTCAAGTTATTTAACATAATTTAAATAAAAATATCGAGCACATTTAATAGTGATAAATAAGAAAATGTTTTATTCTACTTCGACTTCTATCTATTGCATTATAGCAACGGAGTTTTGTGAGCGGTTTTCGTTTTGTGGACTACGAAGTAAGTGCAAATACAGTTTTCCTTGAGTACATATCTTCGAAGCGCATGTATTTAAAGCCAGTTTAATCGTATTTGAGACTTATAAGATTTAGTATTCTGTTAGTAAGAGGGAAATACCCGAAATAAAATATAATTATATTTTTCCTTCTAAATGATGATGGTGTTTATAAACGCTTATATTAACGCTATTAATAAAATAAAATGTTTAGGTGTTGTAGAGATTCTAGAAAAGGTATATTTTCTTAAATCCTGTGTTCACTTGTGGCCTAGAATGGACATTCTAATTTTGAATACTGTTCTCTTCGAAAGTGATATTTAGAAGAAGACTAATAGTTATCATAGTTTATTATTAAAAATAATACCTACATCTAATTCTTACTATACATTATACAAGGCAGAGTAGCCTAACTGCAATTTTATGTATATGTCTTCTTCACTTCAGTTATTTATATCTTCATAGTCTAAAAATATTGCACAATAGCACAGTGACCGAAAATTGTTAACATAATTTTTACACAATCTTACTTATTTTTTTTTCTCATTGAAAATCATCATTTTTGTTATTAAGCCACTCTGCCTCTAGCAGCCTCATATAATTATTACTACACATAACATTTATTTCAGCTATTCTATCGCTATATTTACGCAATGTATTGTGTCTCCATGAAAACGCAGCCACTGTTGTATATCACATATTTATAATGATGTGCTATACAATGCCGTTAATGGGCGCGATACTCGCAGACAACTTTATCGGTAGATATAAGTAAGTATTACAAGTTATGCGAGTACACATGAAAAATTGGATCTTCAATAAAGTCATAGTTATTACACTATAAGTTTAATATATTTCGCATATTAAACCGTTTAAATTGTTGTTAAACCGTCTGAAACATGTTGGACTTTGAAAGGTGGATATACCTATATATAACCGTACGTTTAATTTCGTTATATCTATGTTATCCGAATACAAAGGCAATGGCCTTCACACATCTACCATAAATACTATAAGTATTAAATAACTCTTAGATACATACAAAACCGAAAGGGGGAGCAGTATCGAATGTACGAATAATTTTACCGTAATTTCTCATCTACTTGAAATAGTGTAACTAATTTTAAAGATTTATTTATGAAGTTTTTACTTACAATTAAAACAATTGTTTCTACAGAGTCATATTATATTTCTCCATAATTTACCTGATTGGAACGGTACTGACGTGCTTATCAGCAATACCACCCTTAATGTTACCACCTACGTAAGTTTTATCACTGACGAATTTCTTCTTTTATTAAAAAATCTAGACTGAAACATTATACGGCACAGTTGAGACTCGAACCGTCATCCACAGCGTTTCGACTAACCAATACGGACCCGGTACCTCAATTGGTTTAAGCAAGTGTACGGAACGCTGTGGATCGTGTCGTATTTTTTTTTATTCAAATTCGATTTTTAATTTATCTTGTAAGTTATATTTTCGTTTGTGTGAATAACCACTCAAAACATTGTTTTCTATTTCTCCTATCTAGGGCGACGTCTATGATCGGTTTAGTCTTAATAGCAACTGGAACCGGAGGAATCAAGCCATGTGTAGCGGCCTTTGGGGGTGATCAGGTTATTTCCGAAACAAATTTATGACAATTGCACACCAAAGTAAAACTCGAGAGAGATTAAAACCGTTTTGTTTCGTCACGATTCTAATCCAGGACCTCTCGCGCTACATCCAGTGGTAGACTCTAACGCAGCAGACCAATAAATAATTAATTCCTAAAGAAGATTTTGCTCTTTGTTTAATGGTAGTAAAGTTATAAGCATAATCAACGTTGTAGTTGTAGCCGTGGGTCGAAGATTCAATTTCCATCGAAGCCTACATGTTTTTTTTAATTTTTATGTTCATGTTGGACTCCATCTGAATAGAAATATCGAAATTCCATCCAGGCCAGAAAACATGAAACACGATACACTGATGAATCGCAAATTTGCAGATTGAAATTGGTTTTAAAGCAAAAATAGTCCGACAGTGCATCTTTTAAAGTTATATCGTTGGGGTAATTCATCCACTTTGTCTGTTTGCAAGTAAGACTAACGTCTTCATTTGTTTCCCACAGTTCCGTTTGCCTGAAGAGAACCAGCGCTTACAGCGGTTCTTTTCAACGTTCTACTGCACTGTTAATCTTGGTGGGTTTATGGGCACCATTGTGACTCCGATGCTGCGACGCAGCGTCATGTGTTTCGGGGATGATACGTGCTATGCCCTGGGATTCGGTTTTCCGTCGTTGCTTGTACTCATTTCTATTGGTAAGATGTTTGCTTTAACTCAATTTGAAACAGACTTTGCTGAAACAAGATGATTATTTGTGATCAAACCCTTCTCTTCTTTCTTACTTTTTTGACGGGCTGGTCTTATGGTAGCGATGTATGGCTAGTGATCCACGGGTCGTGGGTTCGAAACCCACCAGGCCCAACATGTGTCTAATGTACAGTCTAAATGTGCTCATTTTTCAATTTGTATTTCTTTCTGAAACATGCTGGACTGCTTCTGTTAGAGCGAGACAAAACCTCACAGAGAACAAGGACACAAAATGTTCAGTTGCTGTCATAAAATTTTCTTTTTACTCTTTTCAATAATTATTCGATTTTCAATTTCAATTCAATAATTAGCGTACACTTGTTGAAGAAAGTTATTCATTATATATCTGAAGTCACATAATTTAATTTTAACTCTAATATGCCAGTGTGTCTGAATGGTTAAACGTATTGCCTAGCATTGCGTTAAGAACGAGAGGTCCTGGGTTTAACTCCAGGAGAAACAATAGATTGTTTCGGTTGAGCGGACACAGTCGGTTTGTAGTTTACGCGAGTAGTACTCATTTAATTAAAACACTTTAACAGATTAAAACGCGATATATACTAGTTAAACTTATTTGAAAATTATTTTAACTACGGCCCCATGTTTCGGATGCTTCGCAGCAGCCGTGGCCACGGGGAGACTAAAGATGGAGGATGTCTCTAACGTCAGAGTAATTGCCAAGCTAGCGTCATCTATTCCGGTCGAAGTGCCGATTTGGAGTGGCAATAATTTTAAATTTTCTAGTCTGTAAATATATAATAAAAATACCCATGCCCTATGGGCGGAAACGGGATTTTAGTTTTTAGTGTAATAGATAATGTATAATGCGATGTTATCTTTGTCAACAGTCACTTTCGTTACTGGTAAGCCATGGTACAGAATCAAAAAGCCACGTGACGCAATTACCTTCAAGTTCATATCATGCGCATGGGTAAATACGAAACATAGAGCAGAATAGAGTAGAGTAAGGTAGAGTAGAGTAGAATAGAATTCAGTAAAATAGAATTAGGTTCTAAAGTCAAAATAACACAAGACTATGCAACTTATTATTTAATCAATAATATTAGAAAAAACGTTTGTAAATAAGGAAATGTAAAATAAATACACTTGCTAATTACACAATATACAATAACACAGTTCTTACGATTAACTTAAGTCGTACTTATCTAATTATAAAATTATCGTGAAGAGTAAAAGCTTAGTCTTGTATATAATTTTATATCATTAAAAATATTATGTTATATTATATTAACATAGAATAAATATAAACGTAATATTCAATAATCTTAAAAATTAATAATGTTACCGGAAATCTATGAAATTTAGAAAAGATTTAACACACAAATGTTCGAGGAAATGTGTAAAATATATTTATAGTAATATTATAAAGCTGGTGAGTTTGTTTGTTTAATCTTAGGAACCACTGTTTCAAAGTGAACAATATTTTTTGGGTTGGTTGGACCAATTATCGTACACATTTTTTCTGATTATTTTAAGTTGAACAATTCTTTCGTACACATTTTTTTGGTTCCTTAAACCGTTTGCGCAGAGCACGCAACTTAAGTCCGCAAAGTCCGAATCTCCACCGATTTTTTTACAGCCTCCATGATTTCTTCACTTCTATCGATCGCAACGTGATATTATATCTCATAACCTTCCTTGATAAATGATCTATCCGACACAATAATAATTTTTCACTTCGAAGTAGTAGTTCCAGAGATTATCGCGCTCAAACAAACAAACTTTTCAGCTTTATGATATTAGTGTAGATTTCACTAATTTCCGTCTGATTTAAAGTATTACATTTGCCAGAAATTGTATATAATAACAGATTTCATACATAAATTAACGAACGAAGAAACTACGAGAGATTTTAATCAATTTAAATACCAACATTAGTTAAAAGGCTACCTCAGATTTCAAGCATATTACGTACAACATTTAACAAACATGAAAATAGTTCGCAGAGCACCTCATTAACTGCGCTTAGAAGTTGTAAAGTTAAATATCAACTGGACATTTTGCATTCCTGTGTCCTGTTTACATTTAGATCGTATATTTCGTTTTCAATGTATTTATTAATGTTGGTAATCTAGCTTTCATATGCTATCTAGACTAATATTATAAAGCTGGTGCAAACAAATTCTTCTGCTTTATACATCAGTATAGATATACCTTGTGCTTCGACATTATGTTTATATGTTGCTTCTGCGTGCATAACTTGATAATATATATATTTGATAAGTAAGTAAGTTTAGTATAAACACTTTTTAAACAAATAATAACTACATTTGGCAGCATCGTCAGATATTTTGTTAGGCTTTTAAACATGCTTGAGTGTTGTAGTGCTATAGTTTTATTATGATTTCGTTTCCTAAAAGGAAATGTAATTCTGTAAAATTTAAAGTCCTTTTTAAAGTGATTGGTCAATTATAACTACACTCCGCTTCGTCAACATCATGTCAGAAAATTAAAAAAAAAAAACAAATCTTTATTCCCGCTAGACAAGAAGACTGTTTTCACATTCTTTTTTATTTATCTTTTATGTAAGTATGGTATAAATTTCGCAGATCAATGTTTTTAGGAGTATATGTGAGGATTCTTAGAGGCAGAGTGGCCTAATAACAAAAACTCGATTATCAATAGGGATGAAAAGGAAAATGCGCAACTAAGTTAGGCGAAAATTAATTTGTACTATTATTTGTATAAGAATTATGTTAAAAATTTTCGGTCACATGCACGTTTTCTTTTAAGATTATGAAAATAGAAATAACTCAATTAATAAAAGTGCAGTTAGGCTACTCTGCCTCTAGCGGCCTCATATGTACATATAATTGCTACATATATAAAATATACATTCTTAAGTTAATTCTGTTCTAACAATATATAAGTTATTACTAATAAGTTTGCTCTAAATGACGAGAATTATTACGTGCAACGGTTGACAACAGTATAATTATTCAAGGGTGCCACGTCGCCTAATAGTATTAAGCTCGAGTTTCCTGCATATTGATCTATAGATCATTAATTAATAGATCAGTATCCGTACACAATAACTAGCTGTGTAAGCGACTTCGTCCGCGTAGTAATTTTTAGCCATCCAAATTTGTTTTGCAAACCCACGACGTCCATTGCGCACCGTCGTTCTTGCAAAGTGATCTTAAAAGATTGACATGTACTACGATGGACTTTTTTAAAGAAAATTTAAAGAGAAAACATTCTTTCGTAAATATTTTTTGGTGTCTTGAACCGTTTTCGCAGCGTTGGCAACACATTTCCTGCTGTTTCTTCGCTCCTATTAGTTCACAGCCCGTGGTTTTATAACTCCTAGCCTTTCTCGATAAATGCTCCAACCAAAACAAAAACAATTTTTCAATTCGAACAAGTAGTTCGATTAGCGCGTTCAAACAAACAAACTCTTCAGCTTTATATATTAGTATAGATATAAACACTGTCTATAGTTTACGCGAGTAGTACACATTTAACCCCGGATCACAAATTCTGATCCCCTGCATGTCAGTAAATAAAATCGATTAGTGGAATTTGCCCGGAAATCCCTGTACTCTGAATTTCATACATAGCAGAAAGTACGAATTTACAGGTAGGTACAATTTTCAACAAAACTTTCTGCTATGTATGAAATTCAGAGTACAGGGATTTCCGGGCAAATTCCACTAATCGATTTTATTTACTGAAATGCAGGGGATCAGAATTTGTGATCCGGGGTTTGAATCCAGGACCTCGCGCGCTTTTGTCCGAGCGCTAAACAGTGAGCGATTGGTACAATGAACAGTATTATACATATTTTACGTAAACTATATCATAGAGTTAAAACAGTTGTATTTAATAATTAATAGGCCGATTTTCATTCCTGAAAACAAGGTTATGAATTCAATAGATAGTATTCATAGTTCTGCCGTGAGCCAGACAAAGGACACGATATTAATAAATAAATTTAACGTATCGCGTTCGGCGCAAGGGAATTTCATCGGAATTATGGAGAAGCGACTGATGATATAAATACGTATATGTTTCGCTAGCTAAAGTTGATAGAGTATTCACAGAAATATTACTTTAACGGTTTAAAACTACAGATATAACTATAACTTAGATATAACTTATTTGGAGATAATTTTAACTCGCCCTAGTAATTTTTATTTATTTATAATCATTTTTTTTTTAACTCTTTTGTTTTTATTTTTTTTGAGTAAAACTTTTTAACACTTTTTTAAGATAAATTACATTTGTGTCGTGCACTTAAAGTCTTATGTACATTATAACGTGAAAGCTTATACACTTCCACGTTACAATGTACACGTACATATATATTATACAATAAACTTCGCGATAAAAATCTATTTGCTATCAATTCTGAGGTGTTACTAATGACCTCCTTTACACCGTTTACGTTGTCGCATCCATCATGTCTGAAAATTTGGTGAAGTGTCATCAATCAATTCATAGAACTAGTGATTCACTAAGATTGGTTTGAGCAGGTATAAAAATGTACAAAAATTCGTATTATAATTGAGGCAGCTAGAAACAGAGTGGCCTAATAATAAAAAACATGAATTAAATAAGGAGGAAAAACAAATGCGCAAAATAAATGTTTGTGTAAGAATTATGTTAACAATTTTCGGTCACTGTGCTCTTGTAGATCAACATTTTAAGACTAGGCATTTAAAATAGAAATAACTTAAGTCATAAAATTGCAGTTAGGCTACTCTGCCTTTAGCCGCCTCAGTTCGTCTTATATTTGGGACTCTAAATCGAATGGAACTACATGGCTGGATAAATATATTATATACTTATTTACACACAATTAACTGTCGGCAAAGAATAAGGTTTATTTTTTATGATGGAGATGGAAAGATAAGCATGGAGTCATCTAACGAAAGGTAAAACACCCACCTATATAACACTTTAGGAAAATGGGTTGTTGATCTATGTTAGCTTCTATAATACGATAGGAAACAAAAAACATTTGGATAACAACAACCACTAAAGAGTACGTCCAAAAATCTTCAAAATGCATAATTTCAAAAATGTACCTAACGTAGCCATTAGTATCTTAATACATGCCTAATTTCAAGTTAATACAATTGTAAACATTTTTTAAATAAACGAGCACACGGGTATTTAAAAACTTTGAAATCTAACTTTATCCAAACATTCAACTTTTTTAACTATTCAAAAGACTTTCAAGGAAAACTTCAAAGCCCATTAATCGACATTGGCCTAAGCCCAAAATCAACCTTCGGTTCAACTACACTTTAAACCCGAATACAGCTAAAGCTTTAAGTTTTAAACCCTTCGATATGTGCATTAGTTAACTTCACTTCAGGTCATATTTTATAATATCTATTTCTTTTCTATAAGTAGTTACCGAAAACAAGTCTAACTGTTTGTGTCTTGCCTTTTAAGTGAATTGAGAACGCGTTTAGTGAGATTAGTCCTGAGTTCGAATCCACACTGTTTCGGTCGGTCAGATATAGGTCTGTACAACGATTTTTGTATTGCTTAGTGAAACAGACACGGAAAGATCAGCTTATCTGTCCCAAAGAAACAGCCTATAAAAGTAAACGTTGCATTTTGAACCGCTATATTTTCCACACGTCTCCATAGCTTTACAACTCCTGAATTTTAATCTGAAAGGTCGTGACGGATTTCGTGCAAAATAAAGGTGTACATATAAAAGTACTTTCTCAAAAAGAAACTATAGCTGTTCAATCTTTGAACAGTATTTATTTGATACATATCTAAGTTACAAGAATAAAAAAACATACATATTATTTTAATAATAAGTACCTTTTGTTCGTCCGCTATGACCATGGCTTCTACAGTGCCCGTGTCGGGCCGTAGTTAAAATAATTCGTAAATAAGATAATGTGTTTTTACCGTTTAAAGTGTTTTCTTTTTCTTTTCTTCAATTCAATCTTTTAATTTGTTGTGTAGCAGTTTATACTTTGACATTAGTTACTAAACACCCGAAATGTCGGGCCGTACTTAATATAATTGGTAAATAAGTTTAACTAATACATTTCGCGTTGTAAACTGTTAAGCGTTATTTAAATGTGTGCTCGAGTAAACTACAGACGGTATACGATTAATGTTATCTATATTTCAATATTACCTATAATTACGATATTTTCGCTTCATTTTTCAAGTACGCTCTTAAGAAACGGCTTCAGCATAACAGGAATGAAGACGGACCACCACGTGAACATTGGCTTGACTACTCTTTGCCGAAATTCGGAGACAAGCTAGTGGAGGATATGAAGATCGTGTGTTCGATTCTCTACCTGTACATCCCGGTGCCAATATTTTGGTCACTATTCGATCAACAGGTATGAATATAGTTTGGGTCCAATTGTACACTCGTATGTGATTTCCGAGTTCGGTGGTTCGATTCCCGGTGCGTCACAACATAAAGGAAGGTTAGATTATAGAAAAAAACTCAACAGGATCAATAACCATACATTTTTTCTCATTGCACATGATGGTATTAAACAGAGTAAAAATCGATCACAGATGGAAAAAAATGTGCTCGAGAGGCGTATGTATTGATAGGTTGAAAAAAATCGACGATGACGTGTAGGGCACGGTAGCTCAATCGGTTAGAGCAACAGCACGTAACGCTGACGATGCCGGTTCAAGTCCTGCCCATGTCGTAAATCAATTCAATCTTCAATCGATTTTTAATTTCGATAGTTTCAAGCATAGCTGCTATATAGTGGACTGTCGCGGGTTCGAGTCCGGTCCGTTGAAAATTAACAATATTTTTTTATATTCTTTACATAAGCTTTAATAGGTTCATTGATTTTTAATATACTACGCTAAAATAATGCAAGACCAATGAAACATTTCCAACTCGTATTGAATTACAAAACGGAATAATTCTAGTTAATCCAGCGTGAAATTTGAGCTCATAATTTTCCTAGAACCTACACCTTTTCGTTGGGTCAGAATATATCAATCATGGGTCATGTATAGTATCGGGTTGATTAGCTATATTAGAGTGAGATGGAAAATCTATACTAATATTATAAAGCTAAAGAGTTTGTTTGTTTGAACGCGCTAATCTCAGGTACTACTGGTTCGATTGAAAAAATAATTTTGTGTTAGTTAGGGCCCATATACCCAAAAAATATGTATGTAAGAATCATTCCTCTTTAAATGATCTAAAACAATGTCCACGACAGTACATGTCTACTGTTTAGGATAATTTGCAAAAACAACGGGACGCGAGGAGGTTTGCAAAAATAAATTTGGATGCCCAAAATAACTATTCTACGCTGATAAAGTCGCTGGCACAGCTAATGTTTAATAAGATATCAAAGACAGGAAGATCGCCTTTGTGTCTGTTGTCTATGCGACTGGTACACATTAAAAATTAAACACGTTGAAAATGCGAAATACATTATGTGAGTAAAATATGTTTTTATTACAAACACGGAAATAAACTTATAACCAACAGCTTTCCATTAAAGCCGGTTATAAATTGAAAAAAATTACGACTCGAGCTCGACTTGATCCGGCATCCACAGCCGTCCGTGCTGATGCTGTAACTAAGCTATCGAGTCCTACAATTCGTCGGTAAGACGCGGTAGCTCAATTGGCAAAATTAACTAAGCCATGTAGGATACTTTTTTAATGAGTAAAACTATTCACTATTTTTAATTTAGGGTTCCCGTTGGACGTTTCAAGCGTCGAGACTTCGAAGTGAGTTGTTCGGAGTCACTCTTATGCCTGATCAACTCCAAGTAATGAACCCAGCGATGGTGCTGCTCATGATTCCTGTATGCCCTGGAGGGGCGTGGCCAATTTTACCTGAACTTCCACCGCTGCATAAAATGTTCCTTGGCGGGATTCTGGCTGCGTTAGCCTTTGTTTGTGCTGGCATTCTTCAAATTGGTATTGAAGTGTGTACCTTTTTCTATAATACAAAATTGAATTTTAAATTCAATAGGAATAATTATGTTATAATCTATTTAGATTGAAAAAAATTCACGACACGGGTGGGACTTCAACCGGCATCCACAATATTCCTTGCTGCTGCTCTAACCAAAGGGGTATTTGACAATGCGGAAAATATATTGTCGATTAGTGTTATCGGTATTAAGTATAGGTTTAGAAATAGTAAAACATTTAAATAAAACACTTAAACGATTTAAAACGCGATATATTAGTTAAACTTGCTAAAAAAGCCGTGGTCACGGCTGCTGCAAAGCATCCGAAACGTCGGGCCGAAGTTAAAAATCATTTTCAAATAAGTTTAACTAATATATCGCGTTTTAAACCGTTAAAGTGTTTTATTTAAATGTGTACTACTCGCGTAAACTATAGGCAGTATCTAATAGTAAAACAGTCACATAGGTTGAAAATAATAATTGGTTAAAATAAAAAAAACACGGGTAAAACTTTCTTTAACATTTGTCACGTGACACCAAAACTCCTGCTTGGTCCTCTTGGTGGTTATCAAATTTGTTAATATTTCTATTCTCTGCATTAATATATGAATAAATTTGTAACTTTTTTATTACTTCACTGGCTATTAAAACGTAAATGTTTGGTATAAATGTATGTAGATTGTAGATCATATGATCGACATACACCAATGGCCAATATAATGTCGTGACGTCACTCGCCGTTTTGCAGCGGATATTTCGTTTAGGCGCGAAATTTATATGTAAAAATTTTAATTTAATATATTTCAGCGCACACACATACGCATTTTATTTTTGACCTACAGATTTGGATGGATGGGCTTCTTAACAGCGTAACGTTTCTGATTACCCATTTCGAATGCTCAAACAAACTTCAGCTTTATACTATTATCTCAGATTTAATAAAAGTTACGGCGTTTTAGCGATCCACTCTTCAAATACCAGGGCATGAACAAACTGGCCTGGTGTTATTGAATACTCTGGCATGCCCAATAGAATTGGGGCTTAGAGGGGAGGGCATAGCGCTAGTGGAAGAGCAGGGCACGGCCCTAATGACCCCTCTGGACCACAGAACGTTTTTCATCACTGCTAGCAGTCCCATCGATTGTGCTGGTAGAATTATGAAGCAGCATATTGTCAATACACGATTGAACACTGCGCGTGAAATGGTTAGAAAAATCCATGATATAAGACGAACATTTAAATAAAACCCTTTTTACGGTTTAAAACGTGATTTTTTTACAAGCAAATTTTTCCTCCCCCCGTTAGCACATGGCTACTGCATAGCGGGTGAAGTTAAATTAAATTGTAATATTTAACGTTTTATACCGTTTAAGTGTCTTATTGAATGCGTACTACTCGCATAAACTACAGTCAAGACAACCACAGTTCCACTATTCTTGACACGTTTTCTTTCCACAGTTCATGCCTATAATAATTGGGCAAAATTCAGATGACGAGATATCTTTATATTATATGGACCCGAATCCATTTATGAAGTCTTTAACGGGGAAACCGAAATTGAAGTAAGTTTGTGTATGCTTTGTTAGCTATATAAAAAAAAATAGTTTTACTTCGTATTTAATAAACTTGTGATACATGTTGAACTTCGTCTGGAAATCTGGATATCAAATAGGCGGAAGGAATGTCGAAATTCCGTCGGGTCACTTACCACCGTTCACAGATGAAAAAGCCGTAGAGTCGCGCGCTCATTTTCGAATATCATATATCGAAAGTCAAATAGGTCGACAGTGCATTTAGTTTAGATTCCACTCGAAATCTTAATTATTAAGCACGTAAGTGTCTTCGATAAATTGTTACAGTCGGGCAGAGTAAGTCTGATCAACTTGTAAATGAAATGGATCATTGAAACGGCCACAGAAATATGTTGTCCCCACGGGTCATTCAAATGGATTCCACTTAATGCGCTCTACAGAAAAATATAGTAATTTGTAACTGAAATATCAATTTCATGTTTTAGAATTGATGGTGTATTTTTCGCAAAGTACACTTCTATCAACTATCCAAATAGTCTAGTTAAAGGCACTTGTTAATTAAAAACTGTGTGCCAGGGTGGTGTACATTGGCGATAGCGGGCCGAATAAAAACGTTTCGATCACTGTGGAGACCGACAAACAGCTAAGCGATATTTACTACGTTTCAAACACTCCGATTGACCACGTCGGCGAATCCGCATACATGTGTTTGCAGCCGGGAAAGTGAGTTTACTAACATATCGACTACTGACCGGCTCGTTAGTACTGGAATTTTTAAATTTACGAATACGTTTTTGATTAAAAGTATTCGGCAACAAATTAAAGAAGAAAGAAAGAGAGCATTATTTACCAACATAAAATTACTTTATTTAAATAACCTTAAAATTAACCAATTATATTTCGTATAATAAACTCTGTCCGCGACTTCGTCCACGAGAATCGTTATTTTTTTTTACATTTCTCGCTGTATCTTCGCTTGTAATAGTCGTCAAGAAGTTTCAATTCGAACGCGTAGTTTCTGAGATAAGCGCGTTCAAGGATGCTAACAAAAAATCTTAACTTTAGTATTAGTATAGATTTCTATGATGGTTCAGTAGGTTTTAATTAAAAAAGGGGTATTATTAAGTTAAAGCGAACGTTTTTCAGTGGACTAGGGCTTTGAGTGAGGAATATATTATATTATCTATACTCGCGTTGCACAGCGTCGTCCGCATCGCGTCTGGTAGTTAATTTAAAATATAAAATACTGTAGACCTTTCAATAGATTTTCCTGTCTTTTTCTATATTTCTACGCTGATGGCAGTCTAATGTTAAATGCTAAGGTTTTCCTTTATAAATGCTTTAACAAATAAAAAATTTTCAAACCAAGAAGTGGCGCCAAGACAGGGTTCAAACAAAAAAAAAAAGAAATTTTATCTAATAAATAATGAATATTAAGAATGAATGAGAGAAGCGAACAATATTAATTTTTATCGTGTTTAAACACACGGATTGAGGTTCGCGAACTTAAGCTACCGTTTATTAATAGTCGATAACTTAGTAGTTAAGTCCTAAGAATTTCTGTTGGTATATTCTAGCGTGCTGAAGTAGCCTTTAGTAATGTTAGTACATTCATAACATCAACATGCATGCATGACAAGACATGCGTATGATCCTATTACTTAGTCTTAGGAGGAAATGTCTAGAATTTAATAACCATTGTGTACGAACGAATTAACACTATAACGAGGCACGTTATAGTGTTTACACTCGACTGCACAGCAGAAGGTTCGAGGTTCGAATCGTGATTTGGTCGATGAGTCATCGCCCGTGTTCTTAGGACAACATTTAAATCGTCCCTCGCGGTTATAATCACTAATGCATTACCAAGAGTCATTATAATCCACCAATCCGTATTGAAACAGCGTTGTGGATCTTAGAATGTATGTGTTCTATATACGAAACTTGATAGAGATATATATTAAACATTTTTATCTAATATTAAAATTTAGATCTTTAAACAAAATAATGTCGATATATCTATACTAATTTTGAAGAGTTTGTTTGTTTGAATGAAACTAAAATTTTTGTAACTAGTGGTTCGAATTGAAAAATTATTGTTTTATTGGTTAGAACATTCATTAAGGAAGGGATTAGGCCAAAATAATCATGGATCAGCCTATGACGAGCGAAAAACGGACAGAAAAACAAAATTATTAATCTTTAATCAGATTTTGACGTTGACAAACGACAGAAAAACGAAATTATTTATGTTTAAAGATTCCTTGCCACGTGCGAAAAAGGTTCAATCCAAAATATGTTTGAAGCATGATCTATAAAGGGTCTACAAAAATGTCAGACATTATTACAAATACGACGGGACGCGAACGACGTTGTGGGTAACGGGTATAATTTAAAAATATGATATTTGTAATTCAAACTGTGGTGCCCAAAAACTATTCTACGCGGACGAGGTCGCGGACAACTACTAGTTATGAGTACAATTTGATATTATTCATAATTTAAGTTAAATATATTAAAATTTTAGATAAATACAATTCTATAATAATTTTTTATAATATCGCTCACTAATAGAAAACCGATACCGCGTTTGGCATTCATATCCATAAAGTTAAAGCTATAATTGTATAGTTTATTTCTAGGAGAACTATTGGAAATTCACTCAGTTTTGGACAGTCAGGACATCTTCGATTTAGAGTGATTTTGCTCAAAGCGAAGATATTTTACTAAGCCAAGGTTTAATTTAAACCTTTACTGTTATCGCCAAATCGATATTTGACCTTTTTTTTAAATATTGACATAAAAGAAGTTAAAAGTATTATATTTAAATGAGTACAATATATAAGGCAGAGTAGCCTAACTGCTATTTTTTGATTGTTTATATTTTCATAGTCTAAAAATGTCAATGTACAAAGCAGTGACCGAAAATTGTTAACATAATTCTTACACAAATTCATTTTCGCCTAAGTTAATTGCGCACTTCTATATTCCTCCTCATTGAAAATCATGTTTTTTGTTACTAGGCCACTCTGCCTCTAGCAGCCTCATATTATAACTAGATACAATTACTAGGTTCAGATGGCGTGCCAACAGCGCTGGTGGGGAAGTGTCTGGCTCCGGCGAAGGTTTCCTGAAAACTGGTGGCGTTTACGTTCTCTGTTTGAGAGAACGTTTAGGCAGATTAGACGCGGCTGTACTACATTCACCGAACCCGCCCAACGAGTTACATCTCGTCTGGATTATACCCCAGTACCTTTTCATATCGGTAGCTGAAATTATGTTTGCAGTTTCTGGACTGGAATTCTCTTTTACGCAGGTATATATTTGGCTATTTTTTTTATGATAAAAATATTCCTACCACCCATTTTACATCCAGCTATCAAGACGAAGTCCAACGTGTTTCAGAAAAATTTTAAATTGAAATATTAAAAACATGTTCGGCTTGGTGCAACTCGAACCCACGGCCTGTTGACTATTAGCCATATATTGCTAGCATTAGAGATAGTATGGCTAAGAACGGGTGAAAGTTCAAGTTGAAAATAAAAAGAAAGATTTATATAAATTAACAATCGACTATAAATGGAAAAAATGTACGCCTCGGGCAGGACTTGAAACTGGCATCCACTGTGTTCCGTGCTGTTGCTCTAACCAACTCGGTAGTTGTATTTAAAATCGATTTTTAGTTTATATAGTGCCACCATGTAAAAAATATGTATATAGTATAATATAATAAATAACTTATATAAAAACGTGGTACTAAATTACGCGATAAAGATCACGGGATATATAAAAATGGTAGAGCACATAGTAATTTGTCTATATGCACAAATTACACAATTAAACGGACATACAAATGCGTCCGCCCCCTATTATTTAGGCGATCTTTACAAAAACCATCAGATTAAGCGAAGTTTATCGAAGAATTACAATGTCTATCAATGATTACAAAACTTGACAATACATTTCCAGCGTTAAATAATCTAGAAAAACACATTTACTCGTACGCACGTGTTGTGAATTCTCTTTTGATTTTCTTAATTAATTTACACATCCATGTAACACACTTAATAATCTTATTAGACCGAACATGTTGTGCAGACCGGCGAAATGCTTTGACGTGGTAAATTCCCAGCTTTCCCATCAAAGTTGCCATACGTTCTTGCCTGAATGGGTATGAAGTACTTCGTCTGATCAGCTTAGTCTACAAGCGAACTTGCGTGGTCTCTTTATATACGTATTAGATGACTGAGTACAATGGTAAACTATTTATTAAGTCTTATAATCATTAGACGTTTAGTTTCTAGATATTCTTGTTTAAAAGGGCGATTACTTATTAGATAATGCGCGGCGGTAAAGTGGTATCGCGTGGTTTTAGCTCACGTTTGAAAACCGGGTAAAATAATACTCTTATTTAAGACAAAAATTAATTCATCATTTAAACAACAAAACATGTTTCAACGACATGCCGTAGAACATATATTATATAATATTTGAAAAATATTAATAATAAATTGAAGAAAACTTAACAGTACATAATAAAAGAAGAATTAATGATTTTTTTTAAGTAGGTACCTACGTGTAACCAGACCTCGTAAATTTCGTAACGCGTTTTCGAATACCGATTTAAAAACTCCTAAAACTTTTTACCGATATAAATAAACACCTGTGAAAAAGCTTTAAAATTGATATTTCGCGTACTGAAAACACTTGTGGTGTTTACGTGAAACACTATAGAGTCTATATTTTATTGTTTTCAATGTACGCTTCACGAGAAAGTACAACAAAACCTATTCAGCGCTTCACGGACTGTAAATGAAAATATTTATGAAAACATATTTCAAACGAGATTTAAAGCATTTTTTTTATTGTAAGTACGGGTGTTACATTTGTGAAAACTATTGTATAATGCTATAACTTATGGGTGATCTAGTTTTCTCTGTTTGGGGGATACATTTCTGACTTGTTTGCCCTGTAGAATTTGAACCCAGGACCTCTCGCCCTACACAATGTTAGGCAATGCGTGTAACCGTTACGCCATAGAGTCAAACTGCTTTTTTAGTAAGTAGTGCACTTTATTGGGACTGAAAAATGTAATTACTTTCAAATTGGTTTTACATTTTTTTAAGGTTGATAGCGTTGGTCGATTTTGCTGTATCATACTACCTTAATCACATTTTTTTATTTCAATCTATACTAATGCGAAAGTAACTCTGTCCGTTTGTCCGGATTTAACTCCGAAACTACTGCACTGTGGGCATGGGAGTGGGAATGAGAGTACGAGTGAGGTGAGAGTGCTGCAGCAAAGTAGCACTTACGACTTAGATTGGCTGCCTTAAATGCGCCCTTACATAAATTAATAAACAGCCTAAATAATTAAAAATTCTACCCTAAGTCACTATTCCACGCGGACGAAATCGCGGGCACAGCTAGAAAATCGTAAATTTGTTAATTCAGTATAAATACAAATTTAAATTATTACATCATAAAATTGTAATTAAATAGATTTTTCTTTATTTACTTTAATCAACACAACAAGCGCCAATGTAATAAACTCTTTAAAAAAGTAAGTATATAAATTGTATGTATTTATGTGAAGGAAGGAACTTAATCGTACTGGTTCACTTTACTTTCTCGGTATTCGATCCTGCAAACGTTAAACAATATCTTCTATATTAATATACAAAGTTGAAGAGTTTGTTCGTTTGTTTGAACGCGCTAATCTCAGGAACTACTGGTTCGAATTGGAAAATTATTTTTGTGTTGGTTAGAACATTTATCGAGGAAGACTATAGGCTATAAATCACGCTGTGATACAAGAAACAGCGGGAAATGTGGAAAAAACGGGGGAATTTATTCATCTCCATGGATTTCCGAAACGCTGTGAAAACGGTTCAAGACACCCAAAAACCTGTATGAAAGACTAATTTATTTACTTTAATTTTAAATAATCTAAAAAAATGTCCGCAGCACTATATCTATCTTTTAAGATTAACTTGCAGGAACGACGGGACGCCAACGAAGTCACACATTGGGATGCCCAAAATATCTATTCTACGCGGACGAAGTCGCTGTTACAGCTAGTATTGAAATAAAATTACTACCGTAGCGTTATTATATATAAGTGTTTCGAGAATATGTACGTAGTAAGTACCTATTTATGGTTTAAGACTTAAGCGTAAACATATGTACATAATATTATATGCGAGAAATTAAATGTATGTTAGTTATTGTTTTTTCTTTTCCTTTTTTTTTTTTCAGGCACCAAAATCCATGAAAACTATCACCATTGCCGCGTGGTACGTGTCTGTGGCTATCGGGAATCTCATTGTCATTCTGGTGGCACAGATTAAAATTTTCGACTCTCGCGTAAGTTTGTTACTTGTTAATACAAGAATTACAGTTTGAAACTTATTTGTTACGTATGTACAAACTTCATATCATATTAAATATGCACTAAATTATAGTGGACCTGTATTTTTAAAATTAGGATCCTTTTTTTCAACTGATGGTGTGAATGCCTAATGCACGCCCACGTCGAGGCAAGTGTGACGTGGGGAGTGAGGTACATCGTATAGCCGACCAGAACCACTAAACACACCAGCCCTCTACGGTGCTTCGAGGGAGCCCTGGGAACACGTTAAAATTAGGATCCCTAGTTGATTATTTACAAATTTTCCAAGATCCTAAATTAATAACACTATACCTATAAATCTAAATCTAATGTACCTAATATTAAACTCTTCACCTTTATATATTAGTACATAAGTATCGGGTACATTTTCAGGCTCATGAGTTTTTCGCCTACGCCGCTGTGTTGACTGTCGCGATGGTGCTGTTTTTAAAAATGTCTCGTGGCTATTGTACTCGAACAATGGAGGGCGACGGTTCATCGACGGAGAGTCACCCCTTGCTACATCATCATTCAAGGGTAAAAAACGTTTCAATTTATAATACCTCCATACTTATAAGACTAGATGTGTCAGCGACTTCGTCCGCGTAGAATGGTAACTATTCAAAATTTTTTTCAAACTTCTTTTATAATTTTAATTTACATTATTTTTCTTATAATTAATCTTAAAAGATAAAACTACTGTTAACTTATTTAGAAATTAAAAGAGGAATATTTTAAACGCTAGCAAGTATAAGTATACAAACAGAATGAAATTTGTGGTATAAATGGGAAATCTACTCACTTTGATCAAAAGAATAAAAATCAATAAATTAACTAGCTGTGCCCGCGACTTCGTCCCGTGCTTGTAGTGGTAGTGACTTGGGGTAGAATTTTTAACGATTTAGGCTGTTTATTAATTTATGTAATTGCACATTTATCGCAGCCAATCTATGTTGTAAGTGCTGCTTTTCCCAACACTCTCGCCTCATATCACTCCCACTCTCACTCCCACTCCCACTCCAATATTACCAAAAAGCCAAAGAAGAAAGTTTCATTGTTCTAGCTACAAAATCCACGAATTTCCATACAAACTTTCACCCCTTACAACCCCCTTTTCGCAATAAAAAAATCTTTTCACCATCTATGACCAAATTTCATTCAAATCCGTTCAGTAGTTTTTGGCGTAAAAGAGTAACAGACAGACTTCGAAAGGACATCTGGTTTGTGCACTAATGTACACTAATTATACGATGCAAACCCGATGCTACTTCCGTCTTTACGGCCGTGTGATCTGATTATACAAACGCAACAATAATTGGATAAACCGGACTAATTTGTATTAAATCCAGTTAAGTGGTGTTAATCCGGTATTAATCCGTTTATAATTGACCAGGTAATATCAGTGCATTCATTATCGACGCGGACAAGAACTTACTACGATGACGAGAGTAGCGACGAGTCTTGTTTAGGTTTTATGGAGAAGACAAGGACGAAAAAATGGCCTACCCACGCTTTTGTCAATTTGGGGACACCGAGTACAAGTGATGTAAAAGCCACCACTTTAGCTAAGTAGAGTGTAGCGCTGTGAACGCGATTCTAAGTATTGTTTAGTCTACGCGAGTAGGACACATTTAAAATGGTTTGAAACGCGAAATATATTAATTGAGTCAATTTTTTAATTATTTTAACTAACCTGACGTTTATGCTGTTTTGCAGTGGTCACGGGGAGACATCATGACGTAGTTAATATAAAATGCAAACGGTTAACGAATATATTTCGCGTTTGAAACCGTTGATAGTGTTTTATTTAAAAGTGGTCTTATCAAAGGAATTTCACTTGAATAATTACAATAGTTACTAATACTTTAGTTACCAGTGATTCCCTCTTAAGTCACTGGTATTAAAATATCTAATGGTTGTATGAGCGCTGTCTAGCAGGCAAACCGTACAATTTTGCTAAGTATTGTGGCTTAACTGTGCTGCATCGTATGCTGACGCAAGAACCTTTTGGCATCACTGTTCTTCATAAATAAATGTATCTTTTTTATTAATTATTTTATTGTAATTTAATCTTTTCTAGAGTTGTACTAAATAAATGCCACACAAAGAGATTTATTATTATTATTAAATACGAAACCGGTTGTTAGTTTAAGCCGTGTCTTACGTTTCTCTCGTTTTATTCATGTGATCTAAAAAGAGAAAACAGTAGCGCATTAAGTATTTACTATCGGCACGAATGTTAAAATGATTATTGAAGATATTGTTGGTAAATATTTTATCAAGCGAGAACGGTATTGTATTTTATTTGTTTTGTAATGAAAATAATTCTATAATATTTTACCTGTTATTTGATTGTATTATATAGCTGAATCGTTATTTACTTTGCGTATTGAATAAAGGAATTGTAACATTGTTTATTCTATTTTATTATATAAAATACAATTTCACGAAAGAGGTAATATTAATTTTAAAACTAGAATACATCTGCGACCATTTTGTAATTTCGTTTTATATTTTGATGGGATTTTAATAGACAGATAACTGACTCACTCAATTAGTAGCTGATCCGGCAACCGTGTATTGTTGTTTGCAAGATTCATATTATGGTGATAAAACTCGTAACAAATAATTGGTAGTAATGCATGCATTTCGACCAGTTCTTGATAGTTCGTCTTAAGAGATTGACATTATTAGATCATTAAAAGAAGGAACATTCTTTCATACGTAGTTTTTCGTTACTTGAACCGTTATCGCTCCGATAGCCCCCAAAGATGTACAAATTTACTCCATTTTTTTACTGTTTGTGGTTATCTATATAACCTAAAGCTTTCCACGACATGTGGTCTATCCAACACTAATAGATTTTTAATTCGAACCTGTAGTTCCTGAGATTTTTAAACAAACAAACTTTTTAGCTTTATAATATTAGTATAGATTATAGAATATTCGACTAATGTCAAGATACAGATTATACAAGATGTCATCACAATATTTAATGACTGTAATCTGCGACATATCACCACAAATTTCACGACCAACTAGATCCCGCTTCGTTCTGTTAGCAAATGCATATCAATTCTAGCAAATCGTATATTGAATCCAATAATATGAAGTCGATATTGATAGCATTACGTAAGTAGAAAATAGGTAAATAAAAATAGGACATAGTTTTAAAAGAAACCTCAAGATTATAAATATTAAAGAGTCTTTATTCCCCAAACAAAAAGTCGTTGGGAGAATCGGTGGAGCTTGCCATGTGGGGCAATTGACGGACACATTTCTGTGTCCGTTTCACTGATCGGTGCTTTTACAGTTTGATCAGACTTCTGTACATGGCCGACCTAATTTATTGTTTCCCTAGCACATTCAAAAGACAACTTTTTACTGAGTTATGTCACAGTAATTAACATTAGGTTTACATAATTATTTAAGTTTTTTTTTTCTTACCATGCCATTTTGTACTCGTTTAGATTTTTTTTTTTCTCTTTTTAATTATTATAAATATTTCTTTAAATTAATTATCACTTATTCATAGATAGGAAGATTCATAGTTGTATAATATATATTTGTACTGTCATAGTTACTTAAGTCTGAAATAGTTAATTACGCATAATTTTTAGTTATATATGAACTTAATGTAATGTTGTACGAATTTTAATAAAAAAAAAAATAAAGGATTCGTTACCAGGATAAACGCGTTGCTAGGTAACACGTTTAACCATCTAGCTACAGAGGTATATAGATTGAAACAATAATACAGACGGTGCTCCCGACTATAGAGTTCTAGGTTAATAAATTCTAGTATATAATTAAATCGCTTTCAACGGTTTAAATCGCGAAATATATTAGTTAAATTATTGCAACTACGGCCAAGCGCATCGGTTGATTTTCAGCAGCCGTGACCTGCCTGTTTATGACGTATGGTTCTTGCAACATCTAAATAAAATGTAACCAAGTTAACTAATATATTTTTCATTATGAGCCGTTGAGAGGGTTTTATTTAAATGGTTTTAAAAATTTAGTACTCGCTTTAACTATACATAATAATTAAATTACTATTTTTCACATATTATCGCACAGTATGGTATTATAAATAAATAAAAAAATGTTTAGATTTAAAAAAATGACGACACGTGAATTGAACCGACGTCTATTGCGAACCGTGCTCTAACCAATACTTGAGTTTAGACTGTAGCCCAGTTGTTTGCCTTATCTGTGTCGTGTTTTTTTTAAAATATAGATTGATTTTTAATTAAAGTAGGTAAATGTACTGTTTTCAACTATATTATTTAATAAATATATAGCTTAATACTTATTTATAGTTCTATGTTTGAGTGCAAACGGGAAAAAGTCACAAACGTCCCCATACAATTCCTTATTCAAATCTTCGGGATACCCACTGATGGGAGACATACCACTTCTTAATAGAAAAGTAAGTTTTTTCTCTTATTGAAATAGGGTCTTTCTTTATCAGGGTTTAAAACGAAAACTGAATGCTATGAATCCGAGCCGAGGATTGAATAAAGTCGCTGATAGAACAATGAGGAGAAGAATTAATTCTTTAAAGTTCTCATAATTTAAATCATCTTTAAAATATTATGTCAGTCAGTAAACTTAAAAGATAGACATAGACGATCGTGGAATTTGTAGATCATTTAAACAAGAATGATTCTTTTATACATATTTTTTAGTTTCTCGATCTGTTTTCGCACTTTTTTTCCACATATTCCCTTTTTTGTACGCCCCCATTGGTTGCAAGGTGTTAGGTGGTAGATGCTATATAACCTAAAGACTTTCCCAATAAATGGTTTAACACAAAAATATTTTTTAAATTCAAACAAGCAGTTCCCGCGATTTACACGTTCAAACAAACTCTTTAGTTTTATAAAATTATATCATCAATAATAGGATAGTAGCTTACATTAAAATTTACGTGTCTGTCTCACGAAACATAGTAGCGTCCACGAGGTGTTAATTTCGTAATTAATGCGTAAATAGTAGTTTCAAATCAAAATAAATAAGTCTTGTAAATTAGCGCGATAGTAGCTTTAGGTAGAATAGAATTCTGCGAAAGGTTGGAGAGTACGCCTGGAGTAGTGTTCGACAAAAAATCCGGCTTCGGCTAAGAAAAATACGAAGCCGATGATTCCTATGAAACCTAAACTATTAAAATCGTAACTAAGAAAAATGATTAAAAAAGGCTGTGAGAAATAAATTGTTTCATTTGTTTTTCTTTTTATAATATAAGTAAGACCAAAATTTTTGTCACAACCATTGCCAAAACAAGTTTATTTTGAATAAAACACTTTAACGGTTTAAAACGCGATATATTAGTTATACTTATTTGGAAATGATTTTTAACTTCGGCCCGACGTTTTGGATGCTTTGCAGCGGCCGTGGTCATGGGGAGACGGGTCTCCCCGTAACCACAGCGAAGTTAAAAATCATTTTCAAATAAGTTTAACCGTTAACGTGTTTTATTCAAATGTGTACTACTGGCGTAAACTATAGACAGTATTTAAGTTTATTTTGATGATGAATAAGGGTTGAGTTAAAATGGACTACGCTGGTGTAATGTAGCAATGCACGCTTAAAAATCAACGGGTCGTGGGTTTGATCCCCACCGGTTCTAACATTTTTCTACTCAATTTATAATGTTTCTGAAAGACGACTTCTGGAAATCTGAATATTAAATGGGTGGAAGGAATATCAGAATTCCCTCTGGATCACGAAAAGTCTGTCAATTTCCGAATATCCAAAGCCAAAATAGGTCGACAGCTTATCTTGTTTAGATTCTATAGGCTGGGGTATTTTACCTGCCATCATGTGGAGCCCATGATGGGCATCCTATAATAAAAAAAATATCCGGCTTCGGATTCGGTCAAAATTGGCCATTCCTTGTAAGTGAACTTTTTAAACAGAACCTCGTTAGTTGAAACTTAATTGAAATTTGAGCGAACTAAAACTTACAGCGCCCTTTTCAGTGTTATAATTTAGTTTAAATTGAATGAAGCTTCACGTATATGTTTGCCTCGTCCACGTTACGGTGTATTGCAAATGTCGTTTGTTCAATTGATTGGATGTACTCATAATATTTACTTCATTCGCGATTCCCAAAGCGTGGTGGAGTATCTACTATCAATGTTACAAAACATAGTTAAATTTTTAATTTATATATATATATTTTGAAAGTTTTAATATTTTTCACATGTTATTGCACATAATGGCACTATAAATTCGATGATTTTCTTAAGCTGTAAAGCATGACATATTGAACCTTAACTCGCAAGTGTTAAAGTTGAAACTACATTGCGCGAAAGGTGCCTTTATCAAAGGGTTGAAAAATATTTGACGATGACGCGTAGGACACTTAGCTCATTGGTTAGTGCAACACCACGGAACCTGTGTATGCCGTCGTATAATTTAAAAAATATATAATCGATTTTTAATTAATATCTTTTAATTTTGAATAAACCATGGACTGGACTCAAATCCGTTGACCAGATTAACAGTTCACCAGTGATTTCTATCAACTGATTTGCTTCCTTTTTTTATGTTATTGTTTTATATTAG